ATCAAGATTCGGGATACACTACACTACTTCAGGTATTACACATTACACAACAGTGCCGTTGCGTGTCACACCGACATCATGCATCCCGCCATAGTCCTACCTACCTATTTCCATGGCTTCCAATGGCTCTCTTTTTGGTTTTCCCGCACTGCCATGTGCACCTCGAAAAAAGACTACGGTGGACTTTCGGTCAAGATCGTGTAGCCAGCCAGAAGCCGACAACACGACCAAATAGGGTACCAGAAATAGGCCTAGGACAAGGTTGAGATGCGCGCCTCACCCAAGCCACGAACGCCCATCTTGTTGTGACCGCTCGGAAAAGCCGTTCTGCGCGGCCAGTATCGGTTCGATTGAGTGTTAGTTGATCATTCGATAGTGCCAGTAGCTGGCTTACGAGTGTGGTTGCTGTTGGTCGTCGATGGTGTCAGTGGTGCTAATGATTACCCAATCCTGCTGAGCAATCACGACAACACTTTGGTCAGAGTCGTCATTCGAGTTGACCGCTTCGTCCATGTCCAACAATTGTCGATATAAAAGAGAAAGCGTCTTCATCACAGTCGCAGATTCTACACTACTTCCATTGTAATTCAAGTGCTGAGTCCCAAAACAGAAAGAGTAAAGAAACAGTGTGGGGGTGGATCCGCGGCAAAAAACCTGAATTGCGCCATCGCCAAATTCCATCACACAATTGAGCCGGCCCGCAAAAAAAAAGGCACAACCCATAAGAAGTCCGTCATTCTCTCCATCTTCAGCCCCGAAACCGCAACCACCACGCCGACCGTCGACCGAGCCATCACCACCAATTGGCGCCATCTCCGTCACATCTCCGCAACTACCGACACCAACTACGCAGCTAGACGGTACCTAGACGCCCTACCCGCGCAATCGGACCCTCCCTCCCTCTCAAATCGCGCCAATCGAGCAAGATCGCCATCCTAGGTACATACCAGACAAAATGACTGCCTCCAGCGACCACCCCATTACCACTCCCCCCCGCGCTCCCTCGCCCGTCCATGGGTTCGGCACGCTCGCCGTCCATGCGGGATCCCCGCACGACCCCGCCACTGGCGCCGTGATCGAGGCCATCTCGCTCTCCACCACCTTTGCCCAGACGGCCGTCGGCAAGCCCGTCGGCGAGTTCGAGTACTCGCGCAGCAGCAACCCCAACCGCGCCAACTTTGAGAAGATGGTTGCTGCTCTCGAGCACGCCAAGTACGCCCTCGCCTACTCGTCCGGCAGTGCCACCACGGCCAACATCCTCCAGTCGCTCGCCGCTGGCTCCCACGTCATCTCGGTCTCGGACGTCTACGGCGGCACCCACCGTTACTTCACCCAGGTCGCCAAGGCCCACGGCGTCAAGGTCACCTTCACTCCCGAGATCGAGGTGGACATCCGCGACCACATCACCGATGCCACCAAGCTCGTGTGGATCGAGACCCCCAGCAACCCGACCCTGCGCCTTGTGGATATCCGCGCCGTCGCTACCGCCGCCCATGAGCGTGGCATCCTGGTCGTGGTCGACAACACCTTCCTGAGCCCCTACGTCCAGAACCCGCTAGACCATGGTGCCGATATCGTCGTCCACAGTGTGACCAAGTACATCAACGGCCACTCGGACGTGGTCATGGGTGTTGCCGCCTTCAATAGCGACGAGCTCTATGCCCGCCTCTCCTTCCTCCAGAACGCCATCGGCGCCGTCCCCTCTGCCTTTGACTCGTGGCTCGCCCACCGTGGAGCCAAGACCCTCCATCTCCGTGCTCGTGAGGCCACTACCAACGCGACCGCCATTGCCCATGCCCTCGAGGCTTCCCCTCTTGTCATCTCGGTCAACTACCCCGGCCTTGAGTCACACCCCCACCGCGCCATTGCTCTCAAGCAGCACCGCAACGGTATGGGTGGTGGCATGTTGAGCTTCCGCATCCACGGCGGCCACGCTGCTGCTGAGAAGTTCTGCCAGTACACCAAGATCTTCACTCTTGCCGAGTCCCTCGGTGGTGTCGAGTCCCTCTGCGAGATTCCTAGCTCCATGACCCACGCTGGTATCCCCAAGGCCCAGCGCGAGGCCGTCGGTATTTTCGATGATCTTGTCCGCATTTCTTGCGGTGTTGAGGATGCTGAGGACCTCAAGGCCGATGTCCTCCAGGCTTTGGAGCGCGCTGTTGCGGATGCTGCCAATGGTGTCTCCAACGGTGTCAACGGCACTCACTAAAAAGTGCATGTTGTTTGTTGTCTGGGATTGGTAAAACAAAACGGGCGTATGAATGGCATTGAGAGCGGGTTTAACTACTACCATAGACGGGGTTCAGGCGTTATCTCATCATGCGACTCTTGTGGGCATGGTCAATATTTTGATTCTAATAAGATACCAAAGGAGGTTTATGATGAAGATCAAGGGTCTATATGTATCCCACGATTGTTGCCTGGGTGGGTTTTACCGCAAACGAGGGAAAGCGTCGGGGTTCACTTTTCATATACATGTAGTCATATAGAGATGATACCAAAGCGTTTCTTGTTTGTCATGTACATCTCAGCTGGGTCATGCTGATGTTGCTGTGTTCTTGTGACGGGCGTGAAAGTTCCTCCATTATTAGTGGTGATATTGGTCTGGCAACCGTGAGCAACACTGATCTCGATAGCAGTAGGAGATCCACAGCAGCAAGCATGCTCTGCTCAGATTATCAGATGACACAGCCGGGTCAATTTCATCATGATTGCAATAAACTTGCGGCCATTATCGACGAGATTCGCTCTTGTCAAATGACGACCCTGCTCAACTCGAGTGATTCACCAATTGATAACAGCAACACCACTCACTGGCTGAACCAGTTAGTTGGTTAGTTCTTGATACTCACCGATCCTGCTCTCGCCAAAATAGTGTCGGTGCGTGGCTTTTAAGCCATCACATCGGATGGAAGCCAAGTGAAATTCAAAGCAGTGCAGCACTCGGGCAGGAAGAAAGGAATCCAGCGGTGAAACTAAACGATCTGATCTGATCGAGTAAAAAGAATTCCGAAAAGGGAAGGAGCAGGATATCGTGTAAGTGAAAGTCATCACATTCCCGTCTTTGATTGGTCAGGCGTCGAAAGGTCGGGCGGGCAAGGAGATTGGTGATCGAAGGAAGACCCATCGAATAAAGATAAAGATGAGTTGGCGGTGCGGAAGTGTAAGTGAAGTGAAGGTCGGCTGTCGGGGCGGCTATCGGTGATCTTCTTCCGGGCTTCTTTCACTCACAGGTTCATAACCAGCCTGCCGTTTTGGCATGGTATGGGGTTAGTGACCGGAAGGAGTATCTCGCCGTTAAAGCTGTGAGGAGGAGAGAGACCTTGACTTGATGTCTGAGTCTATGTACGAACGAAAAAAAGAGCTCGTTTACTCCCCGGGAAGCTTTCACAGCCAGCATCACCCTCACCTAGCCTCCGGCCCCGGAGCCAAGTAGCTCCACTACCCCGGTCCCCGTCCCACCCCGACATCCGATAGCCGCGAAGGGGAGTGGAGAAGGCCGATATCCGATCCACTCTTGTCGGCATCAGTGGAGCCCCCCTCCCCCCGACCTCGACCTACGCACATCAAAGTTAAGCGCGGCGGGGGCGGGGGGAGACTGGATAGACCTGACGGGAGTCGCCCGGTCCATCCATCGGCTGGTCCACTGCACTTGTTATTCGAACATCACCTCCCTCCCCATGGACGTATCATTTTCCACAAGGAAACACAACCACGACGGAGTGTTCCAGTTGTTGACGATCCGTTCCGTTCCCGCAACCCAAGTACAAACAGTACTACATATGTAGTGTACTAGGTAGGTATGTACACGTCCGACGCTAATGAAGGCATTCCACCGGCACGTGGACAGTGAGGTAGTGTACACTAGGGTGGAAGGGTGACATGTGTCATGTGCATGGCATGGTATTAACTGATTCCCAAGACCTTCCATGCTTGATACCGAACCGCTCGGTCAAGCTCTTGTGTATCCCGATACCAGATACCGGACACTTCACTTTATCTCTGTCCCCGATATCTTTTCCACCTACCTATGTTAGGCCGTCTACTACCTACCTACCTACCTACCTATCACCGGGCGACTACCACTGCGTTATCGTACCTCGAAACTCGATAGTACCGTACCAGTCGTTGATAACCCAAAGAGTCTGTCTAGTGTTGCGTACCTACATGTACCTATATATCTACTAGTCCCAATCGATACCTAGGTATGTACTGCATATCACGCAGGGTACCTCTAGGGACTGAAGCCCCGGTGAAAATTGATTGGAATCCCAAACACAATGATTGAATGACGGACGGACGGACGGGCGACGGACGGGTGACGGGTGTCGGTGTCAGTCAAACCGCGTGCCTGCCTTGCCCTGCCCTGCCCTGCCCTACGGCGACATGTTCCCTACCATCATACGGGATGCGTTCATCCCATTCCATCCCATGTCCCGGCCCGTTTTTTGGTCAAGGGAAGGGTTTGCCACCACCCGTCCCGTCCCCAGTCGCCGTCCAGTCACAGACGACGCACGCTACCTACCATAGGTATCACGGGTATTGTCGATAAGGGAGAAATACCGATCGGGAACTAACTTGACAGGACGAGGAACTGAAGTCTGTCTTGTCTTGTCGAGTCTTGTTGGTTGGGGACCATGAAGGACTGCTTGCACGGAGGAGCGGTGAAATTCTTGGATCCTGGATGATGCCCGGCCGCGAAGAATTGTTTGCTTGTTTGATTGTCGGTCGGTGTCGAGTGATACCATCCATTAATGGTTTTGTATATCTTCTTCGATACTCTGTTCTTTGTTGTTCATAAGTATCCTTTCGTTCCTTGTTGGTAAATCATATTAGTTGGAGGTGTACATCCATTTTCCTTACAGGGAGTACTCTACTTTACTCGACTCGACTGAATTAAACACAAGAGAGCCCTTTCCTTGATCTCTCGAGTCTTGTGTTCGTTTCATCGTCTCTATTCTGTTTCTCTGCCAGAGAAGTAGACCGAGTGTTTATCTACCATGATGACACCGCCATCACTACCACCACCGCCAAAGACCCAGACGGTTGACCCGAGTCATACACTTGTTGAGTTCCGGTGTCCGAAATATTCATGTCATCAACCGAGCAAATCATCATCATCCCAGCAGTCCTTTGCTTCAAGGACATGGGCATACCTCAATGAGGATGTCGTGCCTTCAACCTTTGCTGAGATTCAACTTCTTCTTTTGACATTTTGCATTGGGTTACAAGGTGTGTTTTCCTTTTTCTCTTCTGCCTTTCCACCATCCCTCTTTCCCTCATCAAACATGCAAATAATGTATATCTGCCAAACATACATTACTGACATTAAACAGACGCAGTCTCCTTCCCCGACTTCCACTGCTTCGCCTCCAACCAAACCGGCAACACCGTCTTCCTCCTCCTCGCCGCCGCCCTCCCCGAATTCAACCCTTCCATGTTCATCACCGCCAACATCGCCACCTCCCTCGGCTTTTTCTTGGGGAGCGCCTACCTCACCGGCCAACTGGGGCACTTGATCGGCCCCCGCCGGCGCTTGTGGCTTCTAGTCACCAACACAATCCAAACCATCCTCGTCTTCATCGCCGCCGCCCTCCAGTTTGGTAGCTACCACACCAACACCCCCGGCAAGCTGCTCTTCGAGTCAGGCAGCATCGATACCATGGAGGCCGTCACGGGTACTAGGACTCTAGTGTGTATTGCCCTCTTGGCGTCCGCGGCGGGGAGTCAGGTGGTGCTGAGCAGGAGTCTGAACATGACGGAGATTAGCACCGCTATGGCGACGGCGGCGTGGGTGGATTTGGTTATTGACAAGCGCTTGATGAGCAGGCCGCTGAAGGAGAATAGGGGGAGGAATAGACGGGTTGCGTTTTTGGTGAGTTTGGCGGTGGGCAGTTTGGTAGGAGCGTGTATTTATCGGTGGGTGGGGAGTGCGGTTGCGGTGACGGTGAGTGGAGGGGGGAAGGCGGTGGTGGGTGGGATGTTTTTGTTTTCGAGGGGGGAGGGGAAGGAAAAGGTGGGGGATGTTGAGGGTGGAAAGTTCCTGAGTGATGCCTGTGGTGATGAGAAAAAGAGTGGCAAAGAATGTGTGGATGGGAAGGAGGCAGAGGGGGGTGGGAGTGGGAGTGACTCGGAGGCTGAGATGGGTCCGGCCAGTGGAAGGGCGGATGGAAATGTATAAGGGGGTGAAAATATTTGTGTGACTTTGTTTTTGACTTGAACCCGTTGTAAGCGAGCATAATAGAAGAGCGCATGGAGTTTGGGTGTACCTACTGATCAATCATCCAATTTCGGTCCGTCTGAACCACATCGATCAACGAGTTTTGGAAGTGACGATGGGCCCAAGTGTCCAGATTTGCCGAGTCATCGCTTTGGGATTGTCAAGCTCTGAAGGCTGTCCTAGCTTGTTTCGTGTTTCCTCACTGTTTCTGGTCCAAACTACAATTAAGTAGAGGGCCTATGAGCAATGAGATTGTCGGTGGGACGGGGTGAAGACGGGAGAGGGAAACTGTGATTCAAGGAGCAGTGTTAGCCGCAACTTCCTTCTTTTCGAGACATGTGAGGGACTCGGGGTATTTTGAGAAGGAAAGAAGGGAATGACCAAGCGTACCTACAGGTTGTTCACGGAAGCTACCCTGGGGAGACGATTTACATTTAGCCAGCGGTTCTTCGTTCCCTTTCCGGTTGTCATCTTAGTCTTTCGTACACAGACACTCGCTCTCATGACAGCGCGTTCTTCGTCTTTATAAATATTTCTTTCTATTTGAGTGCGCCGTTGTTGCCCCGGGTAGCATTTCCGATTCTTTGACTCCACCTATATGGCACTTCGCTTCACCACCCCCGAAAAGGAGACGTTGACTTCATCGACTACCGTCTTGTCAGCCACTGAGGCCGTCCATCGGTCATCTTGGGAAATAGTCAACATGCCTGACATGTGGTTACTTGATCCCAGATGTATCTGATGCAAGACGGAAGATGTGCGTAGGACTGTCGCAAGGGGTAGCTCGGGATGAATGTGTCATCGTCAACAATAATCTCGTGCTCCATCAGAAGGCCGGGGAAGTGTGTCAACTAAAGACCCAAGCAAAAAATTGATGAGCTGATATCGTCATACCATCTCTTCACTTACACTTCAAGCCCGTAGTCTTTATACATAGCCGGCGATGATGGAACCCCTTGATCCATTCACCTCGATTGTCATCTTTCACGAGTCCTCTGTCTCTCGGGCATTTTCCATTAATACGACCACCATGACAACACCGATCAGGATACTCTTCCATTCACCCCAAGTTACGCCTCTGATCCACGACCCCAATGCTCTCGATGGATGAAAATAACCCGGAAAAGATGGACACCCAGTTCCTCCAAGTGCCCAGGGAGACCCAGGCCAAATGCCCTCTTCTTTTCCCTCATCATCCCAAACGTTCGATTACGACCACGCCTACTATCACTGCCTTGAAACGAGCACCGAAGCTTTCAAAACGACAACCAGCCCACATCTACCAAGATGTATCGCCGCCACACCGACAACGGAGAGGGCAGTAGCCGCCGGGAGAATCCCCCTCGACGCCCTACCCGTATCACAGTCGTCATCCGAGACGAACCAGTTGACGGACCTCCTCCACACATCGAGAGGGAAGAGAGGAGGCACCCGTGGCCCCCTCTCCGATTCCCTCCCCCGATGGTTAGATGGGACCTACCATCGAGACCCCTTCCGCCAGTCCCCCTTCCGAGAAGGGAAGGACTCTGGGCCCGCGCCCAGGAACTCCTCGGCCACAATCGCCACTTCCTCGATCGCATCGACCGTGAGGTTGCTCTAGACCGGCTGGAGGCCCGTCAAGTCGAGCGTCGAGCTCAGCGAGCTCAACAAAACAGGCAGGAAGAGGAGGCTCGGCGGGATAGGCACGAGCAGGAGAGGAGGCAGGAAATGGGGGCCGAGAGGAGACGGGAAGAGCACCTAGAACAGATGACTAGGAGAGGTATGAAGCCAACCTTGGAACTCACAAAAGAACGTGAAGCTAACTGCTAGATTGTACAGACGAACGAAACCGCCAGCACGGCGGTAACGTACCGGCCGCCAGGGCCAATCCCGTCGAAGCGCGCCCAGCGCCCGTCAACAGACCCCCAGTTCCCCAGGTTCCGGCACCAGTACCGGCAGCCCCAGTCGCCACAGCCACCACAGTCAACGCCGCCACGGCACCAGTCCCAGAGCCCAGTGTCGACGGCGACGACCTCGTTCCCTGTGCGGTTTGCACCGAGGAGTTTCCTCGCTCCCAGGTCCTCACGACCTCCTGCGCCCCAGAGCCGCACCACTACTGCGGTCAATGCCTCCAGTCGTTTTTCAGAAACGCCATGGACGGCAACGTCTGGCGCAACGCCGACACTTTCCCTCCTACTTGCTGCGGCAACCGCTTCTACATTCACGCCAACGAGCCTGGAAACGAGAACCCTTCTCGGGAAGTCCGAGCGGGCAACGAGCGCTTCCGACGGCTGCTCGGTGTCGAGATGATCAGACAGTACATTGCTCGTACTGAGCAGGTACGCATGGAGAGGGAGCATACGGGCACGCGGTGCTCGAACGTGGACTGTGGCTGGCTAGTCCCGGAGCGTTTTACGGGCGTCGAAGGTCGCAGAGAGACCGAGGCCATCTGCCACCACTGTCGACAGGTGACCTGTATTATCTGCGAGGGCAGGGCGCACCGAGCCAGGTACCAAGAGCGTTGTCCTGGCCACAGAAGAAGGACAGAGGAGCAGCAGCAGTCGGAAGAGCAGGCCGATCGGCAGTTCAGACAGTTGAGGCGGGACGAGGCCTGGAGGACTTGTCCAACCTGCGACATGACCGTCGAGAGAGATGGTGGCTGTAACCTGGTGAAGTGAGAACCCCCATCTCGTTTGAAGCTAGAAGAAAAAAGAGTTACTGACATTCTTACAGGTGTATCAAGTGTAAAACATACTTCTGCTACCACTGCCTACTCATCCACCCTAACGGGCATGGCGATGGACCACTGTGCGCCTGCCCCATCTTTGACCTTCACGAGCCAGAGAGGCGGATCCGAGAGAGACGGGCAGCTGGTATTCCGGACCATGTGGCTGAAGGTGAGGAAGATGACTTCTTCCATGGCCGTGACCATCAGCATCGCCAGCTCCAGCACCACCAAGGCCACCACCCCGATCCGGGCCGCCACCGTCATCGCCATCATCGCCATGACGACCACTTCCTCGACCACATCCCCGAGGATGACGACTTTTTCCATGGCGGTGACCACCGCGACATTTTCGACAACGCCCCCGAGGAGCTCCTCAACCGCCCCATCGAGTTGGATAGCGACGACGACATTGACGCTGATGACCTTCGATTCATCCTCGATGCTTTGACTAGACGTAGGATGCCTTGATAGGTTATCCTCGACCTGGTCATCGACAGGTTTTCTAGGAGATGGAGGGAGGAAGGGAAGGAAAGTGGACTATCAACTACCATTCATTATTATGACGCTTGCCATCACCAGATACCCCTACGAGGGGAGAAACAACAATTTCGATCCGCCTTATCACGCCCCGGTTGTGGTTCTACATGCAACTACTCGGATCCATGTACCTAGCCCTGAAGTGACGGGGCAACATGACCGAGTAGGTAGAACCGGAGCAACTATGGAGACAGAAAAGGGAAGCAAACTGGATCGGAAACAAACCAGAAGCAGCCTATGCAAGCGTTTGATGGGCGAGAGTTGGGGAGGGAAACCATATGAGAAGTTGGGATATCTAGATGGAATTTAGCGTTGGGATTTCGATGAATTGGTTCTTGGATTTGACACGAAGCCGTAGGAGTTGGAATGATGGATTGGATAGTTGGAATACCCAGGCTTATCATAGCGTTGCTTTATGATCAATTCGTGATTTTCTGATGCGGATGATGAATCGATCAAGTGTTGTTGTGTGTTGTTGCTCGAGTGATGATTGAGTGTTGATGTTGAGTCCAGTGTTTGTCCCCAAGTCCAGTTCCCCTGGTCATTCTCTGCCGCATCTTTACCAAGTCAAACGTCCACATAGGCTCCCTCCCATCCGATTCCTATCCGGAGTGCTTCACTTGTCTGTCTTTTTTGATAAGTTAGCTGGGTTTTGCTTACCAGACCATGTTGCCCACCTGGGAAAAGTAAACAAGGAAAGTGAGAGGAGGCGGTAGGATAGAGGTTTTATACCCAAAGGTTTGCAGACAACAAACCTCTGTAACCTCGCGACGGCTACCCACTCAGCATCACATCCCACAGGGACAGTTTCACAAAAAGGCAAACTGCTGTTTGTGTGTTAGTACCCGACCTCACAAAACTGAGAGAACTGTGCCGTTTCAAACTCAAACTTGTCAAGCCATGTTGTCCCTACCCGTAGACTCTGAGCACTGTAATCACAGATAAGCAAAGATAGTCCTCCTGAACCAATAAGCTGTGATATATATCCAAAACAAACAAACGCTCTAAAACGCCGCCATGCTTCTCTACGCTGTCTATGTAGATGGTAGTTGTAGTATGTTCCGTCTTTCGGCGGAGCAGAGAGCCCCTCTCTTTCCTCTCCTGTTCCTGCCCTGTAATTCTGCTCCTCTCATCTCTACTACCCTTCCCTCGCCTGTAGTTCATCTTCCTCTTCCTCTTCCTTTCCAAAATATAAACCCGAGTTCACTAAAGCTCCGTCTTCGGTGAGGATGGTCTAGGTATATATGCTCATGCTCTCGATAATAATGAATTCGCAAAATGTGGTTTCTTGTTTATTAATCGACTATCGATCGCGACCGAGCCGTTCCTCGTCATCGCGCGTCAATTCGTACGCCGGCCGGAACTTGTTTCCTTCGGCGTTGAGTGCCAATGCAGGATTGGGCCGCGTGTCTTTTGTCCCGCCGAGGGAGGAGAAGCCTTGGGAGTAGAGGGAGCAGAAGGGGATGTCGAGTTGGCGGATAAACTGTTTTGAGCGATACAGTGTCAGCAAGTGCTTGACTACGGCGTTCTGGGGATTAAAACTCACAGTCCATATCTCAACATAGTGCCAATCCAAGACGGGATTTATCCGCATGAATTGCGGCCAGCCCTTATCCGTCGGCGTGAAAGATGCTAGAAACTCGCTGTGTGGATCGGTCCTTCGCGTGCCCATGAACACGGCTTTCACGTGGGGCTTCTCGTCCAGATAACAATCGAGGGCCTGGCGCATGGGCAGGGCGTATCGTGCTAGGTCCAGGTGGTACTCTTCTGTGGTGGTGGCGACGAAGTCCTCGACTTCTTGGAAGGGGTCTGGCGGGGCGATGTAGATGCATTGGAGACGGGGGAGGGTTTGTTTTGACGAGTTGGAGATCGAGGAGGAAGAAGAGGAGGACGAGGAGGATGGCGGTTGGAGTGAGGCGGGCCAGCAGGCGAGGATGAGGATCAAGAGGACGAGACAGTCCTTGCCGCCATTGTAGGAGAGGGAGAGTTCTTCGGGTCTGGATGGTTGGGTTGGGTTAGTTGCCATCATGTTGGCTAGCTAGCTTGATGAGATGGTAACGGAACTGAGAAGGCCAGCGTACCTATACCGACGCAAGGCTTCCTCTATCACCTCCATAGCATCGCGGGCCCGTCGTTGAGTACCCTGTACCGTCTCATCGTTGGAGTGAAGAGCCAGGAAGGCAAGGAGCTTTGCGCGCAAGGCGGCGCATACCTCGGCAAGGCTGCGAGGTTGGCTGACGATCTTGGAGACCGATGAGGTAGCCATGTCTGTTGTACTTGTTGTTGTGTAGTTGGTCTCTGAAGGGGGAAAGGGCGCAGTTGAACTAAAGGTGGTGGACGAGGCTGAAGAGACACCGTTGCCGACGACGTGCAAGTCTTTTAGAGAGGGCGAGTCCTGTGTCATGTTGGAGGTCTATGCGCGGGAATCGGGACGAATTTATTCTTCTGTAGGAGTGGCAGTTGTCGCAAAAAGGGGAAGCTCGGATCCAGATGCAATAATCACAGAGTAATCATGTTCGGTCAGACTGACTGACTCTATGTAGGTGGTTACTCGGTATGGCGTTGGTAGGTAGATCGACGCCTCGATGTGTGTGACGGGACAGGGTCTCCCAAGGAGAACAGTAGGCCGAGGATGTGTTGATAGAAGGTCAGCAATGCAGCAGACCAGCAGATACAGAGACAGGGGAGAAAGGAGGGGACAGTCAGTCAGTGGTTGGATCAAACGAGGCTTGTGATAGTTCCCTTGTTGTTGACACTGCCCGGGTTCCGTGGAGGTTCCCCAGGCCCATGGAACCGGCATGGAACCCCTCCACCCACCGCGGCTCACTGGGGCCCGCTGAGGTGCCTGCCGCCCCGTTCAGGCCCTCGGCTGTGGTGGAACCACCTGGCATTCCGGGGGAACAGGGAACCCACGGTACCTAATGTGATACCTAGCGATAACGATAGCGAGTCCATGCTCCCGCTCCACTTGCTTACTTTGCACTAACAATTTCCAGTCACTCGACACTTCCTCTTACATCTCGTCGCGGTACCTTTTTACTTGCATCATCTCGTCGACAACCTCAAGATGCCGCAACAGCTTGACTATCAAGTTTCAATTTCCTATATTATATGACCCCGCGCTCGATACATCTCAATGCCACAGAGCGAATTTCGTTTCAAGGGCAGGACAGATATACAGGACGACAAGGCCAAAGCTGCCCAACATCTTCCTTCTCCCACCAAACTGGACCATGATGCCATTCAGGAGGAGCAACGACACTCTTTTTCGAAAGCTGATCGATCATGGTCATGACAGAGAATAACTTCTCGAGTAGGAAGTTGATGTCTTGTCGACAGGTTCACATCAAGATCTAGTGATCTTGATTGTTTACCCAAAGCATACTCATTCCATCTATCCATCTTGGGTATGAATCATTCATCATCACCATGACCCTCAACAATATACGACCTCTATCCAAAATGAGGCATTCGCGATCCAAGTACATCTATCTTGACATCCACATCTCTCCTTGGTTTTGAGAGCACTTGGGTCATCGCCATCCAGATCACCAATTTCCATCAATCGTCACAGTCCAAAGTCCAAGGATGAACGACCCAGACAGAAAAAGCAAAGTTGAACAACTTCCGTCTCACAGCAACGCCTGTCAGTCGCCACAGAAACAACTTCCAAAGAGAGTGACCACGACCACCACACCCAGTGAACATCTCAAGGCCAGTGCCTGCGGCATCGTCATCTCAACGTCATTCCCTTTTTGTCGGAATACGGTCCGAGAGCTTTTGGTACTGTACGTTCGAGAGTCCACCAATTCGATCCGATGGATGCCCTCGAGATTCTCATCCAAGTCAAACGAGTCTGGAATCCGATTTCTAATGGAAACCACTTCTTATGCAACTTTTCTGCACCGAAACTCTGCGCTTTCTGCTGACTTGGATTTCCTGCATATTCAACTGTGACCGATTCCGATGTCCACCTGTCAATCAGTCGCTTCCGCTGCCGTGAGCATACCAAGTCCGGAGACATGCCCGGCAGCCAAGCGTGAGAAGAAACTAAAAGACAACGACAGTGGTTGACGATCTACTGCCAAGTTCACTCGAATAGGTAAACACAGTACCCCTCTTTTTCTTCTTAACCATATGGTTGGCCACCCATACACTACATCAGCACAATTCCATTCAGATCTCACTTCCCCTCGTTTCCTAAATCGATCGTAAGGCGACACACGCGAGGGGTAGATGTTCTGGAAGGTCCCGAAACGAACCAGCCAGAACACACAACTTGTCTATTCTGTTTGGGATCAAAGCAATCCGTGATAGTGATGGACTTTATCATCTCAATCAACTTTGGGAGCCTATACCCACTTGGACATACGAGCCAAGTACCTCCCAAACACCATACGCCGACATACGTGCATATACCCCAACACCACGATCAGAAATCCGAGCTCCCCTTGGTCAAGCTTTGCTCTTCCTGCGGGACGTGCTTTCTCTCCAAAACGGCGGACGGCCCCGTCCCTTCTCTGCTTGTGACGACATGATGAGGTACATCCATCTTTCGGTTTGGATCTTCAGTCGACTGATCTCACCAATTTGTCCTGCGGATCTTGGTTTGTAGTGTCAAGAGAGAATGGAAGACGGAGAACTCCTTGGCCTTGCGCTACCATAGCTGCCCATAGCCGTCACTGCATGTGCATAGGTACATACTCCTCTCAAGCACGTACGCGAGCATCTGTGATACGCAAAAGGTATAAACCACCGGCAACCCCGCCCTCTTCGTCCGCTTGTGTTCCTATGCTACTCCTCCTTTACATCTAACGATTCTTCACTCACCGTTGTTACTAAAACTTCATTTAAAGTGACAAGTCCACAACAATATACACAGCTCAGTCAAGTCCAAACAACCTCCTCGTAGAGTTAATCACAATCAACTCTTTCCCAACGCATAACAACGCCACCCCCCTCTTCCCCCACCCCTATTCTCATCCCTCCCACTCATCCTCCTCATCCACAATAACCATGGACGACACCGGCAGCAACCCCCCCATCGCCGGTCCCTTCCAGCCGGCCCACCCACCCACCCTCGACAACCCCGTCACCGAGGCGCCGGCTCCCCACACCAGCCCCGTCGCCGGCAAGACGGGCCCTGATGCCGCCGCCCAGGGCATGAGTGGCGGCGGAGCTAGGGGTAGTATATCGAGCGAAAGCAGCAAGTTGATTGACGAAAGCACCAAGCTCTTTCCTAATGTCGCGGGGGCTGCTTCTGAAGCGTTCAGGAGTGAGCGGAGCGCGAGTACGTCTTCGACTACCAGTGTGACGGGGAGTGATCGGCCTATGGGGAGTGCGAGTACGGTTACGGAGGTTCCGTATGGTAGACGGGTATGTTCTTTTTTCTTTTTTTTTTTTTTTTTCTTTTTTTCTTTTTCTTTTTCTTCTCTGTTGTTGTTTGGTGATGATTGAAAGGGGTTGTGGGTTGTGGGTTGTGGGTGGTAAAGAGATGGTGAACATATGCTAACAGCTCGGAAATAAAACGACACAGCCGTCTCACGGACATGGAGGACATCATGGACTCTTTGAGGGCTTGATTGACCAGAAGAGAAGGAACGATCCGGCTAGTGTTGCGAGACGCCAGAGTTTGAGTGAGCAGAGGCCGGTGCCGCAGGGGTTTATTGCCAAGATGTGGGATAAGTACGTTCACCCCCTAAAACTTTTTCGTTTGTTTACTTTGAGGCTGACTCTCCCGTGACTAGCTGGGTACGCGGTGCCCCCCCTGACATCTAAACAAAGTCACTTTTCTCCTTTCCCTCTCGTCAGCATTGTCTTTTTCGTTATCCAAACTGAAGAAGAATGTCAAGATGGGTGGAGATCCAAATTGTACGAACACATCATTGAAATATGGAACATTGCATGAGGGCAGGCGCGACGGAGGAGATGTAATGGGCATTAATGATTGATTGGGATCGCTTGAACGGGATCATTATGTGCGGTGGTAGTTGTAACTGAAGGTTGTCCTTGCCCGTCTTTTTCCCATCTCTTTTGTCACTTGATTTGTCGCATTTTAGGAGTATGATGGTTGATTATCGGCCTGCCTCAATTATGGTCTTTTCTTTCGTGTGTGTTTATGACGATGTAACGAACTGATAGCATCAAATGAATGCTAAAAGATTGTGCATGGAATCATTTTATCAAGTCTCGTTTTATCTGCCGTGGCCACCATCGAACGAGTTCCTCCTACAGTAATCATGTACCAGATACGGCACTCCTCGCACCTTTCCCTCTAGTTCACTCATGAGTTGATAAAGATCCGAAAAAAATCAAAAAAAGAAACAAGAAACATACAACACCAGGTTATTCGCCGGTCGTCACCGAGCCAACTACTGATCTGGCGGTCACCGGCTTATCTAGGGGAGAGCGGACGGGATCCCGAGTTTTATCCAGGTGCCTATGGTCGTATGTGATTTAGGCAACTGTCCAGGAGAATGTGGAAGGGGGAGTGGCATAAATGGTTATATACCTTTACTTAATTATACGCATTCGGACGATGCACACAGGTTCAAGAGAAGGCCTTTGGCTTGACACTCCAGCAATTGGGGCGAAATATCTCTGAGCCCACATCTCTCAAACTATGGATCCGGGATAAGGATAAGGTATTGGTACATTACATCTCTGCGCGAGAATACTATTCAGCTACGAACATTGGGGAGAGCTAGTTTTGAGAGCTTGCCGTCAGGTGTTATGGCTACCTCTACCTCCACCGTCAGATGCTGCGATAAAGATATGGCATAGAAGGACGAAAACTTCTTGCTACTCGACAGATGGACTGTCTTGATTTGTCTAGGCAAAGGGTGGAGGAATGAAGTCGATTCGGCACTGGTGTTTCACCACCAAACCACCAAGATCGAGGACTTCACGAGGTCATCGGCACAGCCAGGACACTCGGTCGCTGCTGAGAGCATTCCAACTCTGAACAATTCAATAAGTCCTCATTACATTGTGAGAGCTTTTTACCACTGGAAAAACACCAAGGTGCGAAAGTCGCATTGAGCCTTCCCTCACTCATCGTCGGAGATATGTACCGGAAGTTGCCGAAGGGAGAGGCCTAAGACATGGCCGTCACCCTCATTCCTACAACCACTACCCAACACCTACATATTTGACGGAACTCACAGGAACGCATGCCTTTTCCCACCATCTACCATGTTCATCGCAATCTCCCACCATGAGGCCTGGGATTCCAGTTGTCGTGTTGTGGCATAGCAGCGACACCCAGCAGCGGCCGGGAAGTTGGCATCCGTGTCAACAACATAGCGATGATATGAAGCAGTAACAGCAGCGACAACAACAATAACAACATGGAGAAACTCACCTATAAGTATCCCCAGATCTGACCAGACTGAGAACTAATTCCTTTCTTCCTCACCAGCCTTCATCTCCTCCACCAGTCTACATCATCAGGACTTCAGTCTCTCTCTCTCTTTCCAAAGAAACCACCAAAGCCAAACTAAACCAATCCTTACCAAATACCAACGTCACACTCACTTCACTTCACTTCACTTCACTCCTTTTTTTTTTCAAAATGAAGTCCTTCGCCCTCACCACCGCTCTCTCCCTCGCCATGGCCGGCTCCACCCTCGCCGTGCCCATGATGCAACAAGGCCACGCCATCGCGCACATCAACGCCGAGGCCCTCAAGAACAACCTCGCCATGGCCAAGGCCAACACCAACATGAACACCAAGCGCCAAACCACCCCCGCCACCTCGCCCGCCGCCTCCGTCCCCGCCGGCACCGTCCCCTCCGTCGCGCTCACCGACCTCGACCGCGTCGTCTCCAGCGTCGGCGTCATCGTCAAGAACGCTCAGGACGACTTCCAGAAGATCGACATCAAGGACCCCCAGGGCATTACGGGCATCCTCTCCCAGCTGCTCGGCAACGTCACGCAGACGGTGCAGCAGGGCACTCGCCGCATCAAGGCCAACCAAAAGGCTGCCATCCTGCCCGTTGGCGCTGGCTGGGGCGTCGCTGGCGGTGCGTACCCTCTTGGTGTGCTTGGTGGCCATCCCGGAGGCCTCGGCGGACTCGGCGGTCTCCTGGGCGTCACCGACGGTCTCGCTGGTTTGACTGGTGTCACTGGCCTGTTGAGCAGCTTGTTGAACACCGTTACCGGTCTGCTTGGTAACCTCTTGCAGCTCGGTGGTGGTGATGCCACCAGTGGCAGTGGCTTGGACGCGAACACCCTGGCCAGCTTGGCTAACCTCCAGGCCCTCCTCTCGCTTAGCGGCGGCCTGACTGGTGGTGTGCCCCTTGGTACTCTGCCGCTTGGCGACTTGAGCAACCTCGCTGGTATCTTGAGCCCGGAGCTCCTCAACCAGTTGCTTAGTGGTACTGCTACTGGCAGCCCGCTGAGCGTCATCGAGTCGTTGTTGGAGGCTGTTCAGGAGCTGCTTAGCTCTGTCCTCTCCGGTTCTATTGGTGTGACTGCTGGCATCACTGGCGATCTCGGTGCTGATGCTTCCACTTCCACTTCTGATTAAAGCAAGGGTTTGAAATCTGGAGCCTGAAGCTAGCGGGTAGTTCTTGGGACTTTTGTTGCTTCCCGGCTGGAGATGTTGGTCGCATAGGAGGAGAAAAATGTTTTTGTCACTATTTTCTTTCAACTAATTCGGCAATAAGTTTTGTTTTGGTGGATGTTTATGTGGAGGAGATGACAGTCGGTATAAAAGCGTCATTTATCTGGAGCGGGAGAACTGGCGAAAGAGCAAAGTCTAATGAATGTTTGAGAGTGTGCGAGTTAGTTTTGCTTTGAACAGAAAATATCAGGGGTTTTGCTCTTGCCTTTCTTGACCCATCCTCACGATATGCTGCAATGTGGTCTCCTTGACTGAGGCTTCTTAGCCCAAAGAATGAACCATCTGATGAATCAGATCAATATCTGCCTCCAGTGTGGATATATAATCACCTATACCACTCCCCCTTCCACATTCAGCTGGTTGATACTGTACTAAAAACATACGACCATAGGCACCAGGGCAAAAACTCGGGATCCCGTCCGCTCTCCCTTAGATAAGCCGGTGACCGCCAGCCTAGTAATCGGATCGGTGACGACCGGTGAATAAGCTGGTGTTGTATGTCTTTTTTTTTTTCTTTTTTCTTTTGTTGACCGGTTGATTGTTCTTCGATAGCGAACTTTACACTTTCATTTCGTGGCGTTACATCGCGCAGAGCATTGATTCGTCATATGCAACCCATCTGCCCGTCTGTTCAAGTTATTCTATATCCGAACCGAAACCCAAAGCAAAAGAGTAGCAGACTAACCCCAACGAACCTTAGATCCAAGTAGTGTAAAATCCCCCCTTCTTTTAGTCACCTCCAACCATCAACAGCAACCGAATACTTCCCTCCTCCATCTTCTTGCACTAGGTTCATTACCAACAGGCCCTCCTCCAGATCCCTCGTCTCCTTGTTTTGCGCCTCATTTGCCACCTCCCCCTTTCCCACCCCATTCTTCTCTTCCAACAGCCTCCTCAACGGCACATGCACATACTTCTCCGCCCGCTCAATCCCCAACCGCTTATACAACTCCTTAAATCCGTTCTTCACACACCCCTCCGCCGTTTCGCACAAATCCTCTAAAGGCCCCTGGTCTGAAAACACAAATTTCACATCCCGTTCCAGTTCCAAAAACTCCTCCCAATCCATCCCCTCCATCTCAGTCTCCACCTTTCTCCTCAGCTCCTCCTCATTGAATCTCTGCCTGAGCGTAACCAACGTCTCCCGCATCCCTTCCATCTCCTCCCTCCTCTCGTTCTTCTTCTTGATCTGTTCCGCCCGCTCGAGTAAGGGTTTCCAATCCCGTAGCGCGACTTCCATTCGCAACGTATGTGCACTTTCTTTCCCCTCGCCGAGCTCCTCGGTGCTGAACTCGACGCACTCGCGCTGCATAGCAATGGCGTCGTCCATTTTCCCCTGGTAGGCGTGCACCGTCGCATAGACGTGCAGATGTTCTGGGACGGCGGGGGAGAGCGGGCCGAAGCGCTTGAGACAGCGGGCCATGACCTCGCCGGAGACGATCTCGGCGCAAGAGAGGTGCGAGTTGGAGAGCAGGTGGGTGGTGATCTGTGAGAGAGCGGAGAGGGATTGGAGGGCGGTGGGGCCGAAGGAGGAGAGAGATTGCGAGTATAAAGTCCAGAGGGCGGATTGTTCTTTGAGGAAGACGGCTTCGGCGGCGGCTGCTTCGGAGGGGGCGAGGGAGGAAGGGGGAATGCTAGGGACTTTGAGGTCGGAGAAGAAGGGGGAGGAGGGATCATCATATTGGACGGTGCCGTTTTGGATGGTGGCTAGGTGGTTTAGGGTTTCATTGGCGCGCATCAAGGCTGCTTCCGTGTCGGCGATCAAGGCTTGTTGACGCGGATTCGTGCTGGCTTTGCGGGCGGCGAGGATTTTGGCTCGCATATCACGGACTTGCACCATGCGGCCCATGTCTAGATAGAGACGCTCGAGGTTGACCATGGCGGCTATGGTGCCGTCGCTGTGCGGACCGAGCATGTCTTCCTTTCGCTCGAGAATTTCCTGGAGTAGGGGTTCGGCGTCCGGATGGCGACGAAGGCGGAGGTACAGGTCGGCGAGCTTGCCCATGGCACTTAGGGTCCGCTCATCGCGCACGCTGAAGAGGCACTCGTAAGAGGTTATTGTTTGCTTCCAAGCCTCTACCGCCTCGTCGTCTTTGCCCATGGCGTCGAGGAGGACACCTCGCTTGCCCTGGAAGAGGGCTTCTTCTTCTTGGCTGAGGCGTGTCTCGACGAGACGCTCGCATATCTCGCTGTGCGGGAAGATACGACGACGAAAGTATGCGTTGGAGGGGTCGTTCATGCCTACGATAGGGATCGAGTCATGGATGAGGATGCGGGCTGACTTGCCAAAGGAGGCACGTTGTTTGCTGCTCATTCTGTCTCGGGCCCAGAGGTGGACGAGGACGTGCATGGATAGTTCGTATCCGGGATCCTTTTTGAGGAGGGAGAAAGAATCCAGAAGATCAACTGCTTTGCGAAATTCAGTTGGATCCCATTTCCCTCCCTTTTGGCTGTCAACCTCCAGCAAACCTTGGATGCTGTAATCGTCGTCAGGCATGTCAATGTTAGCGGCGCGTTTGGCACGGTACTCGGCCGCTCGCCTAACCATGTCCTCCATGATACCGGAGTTGTGGTAAAAGCAAATGGTGTTGAGAATCTTGATGCCAGTCCTTGCAGCTTCCGCCTTGGAATAGCCCCCCCTGAGTCTTTGGAAAGCCTCGAGCATGTAGTACGAGAGGTTGAAGGTTGTGTACACGGCTGTGTTTTGCTCATTGGCCCCGAGGTACTTTGGGTTCTTAAGCAAGTCTTGCTTGGCTTCGAGGAACCGCGAGAGATAGTCAGGGAAGGAAATCTGAGTTTCACCCATAAAGGCACCGGCTTGGTCGAGGGCAAGAGGCAGACACCCCAATGCATCAACAATGGGCTCACAAGACTTTCGATAGCCTGGGTTCTCGGGCGCTTCTCGAGCGGCTCGAAGGAGAAGAGTAATGGCGTCTTCCTTGCTCATCTCATTGACTTGCACAACTGCTTCGCGAGGGAGTAGTTGTGTGAGGTTGTTGAAGCGGCTGGTGTAGATGATGTTTCCCTTGTTTCCGGGTGGGATATACTGGCTCATGCCTTTATCTGGCCCGTAGTTATCAAGAATCAGGAGCCAGTCATCGTTTTCTTGCATCCATTCATGGACTTTGGTAATTCTTGCCCTTCCCTTGTGCTTGGGCTCGCCATCACTAGGGAAGAGATCATCATAGATGAGGTGGTAGCTGTCAAAAATTGTAGCAGCATCAGTAGCGTCGACCCAGAAGTCCCTTTGGAACCTAATATCAAAGTTAGTAGCTGATTCGTTTCTATGATGGCGGAGCACCTTACAATGTTTTGCGGTGGTTATCGGCAAACTTCAAGGCGATTTGCGTCTTGCCAACGCCTCCCATCCCCAAGAGTAGAAATTCCCGTCTTGGGTTACTGAAGTTCTGGAAGTATGTTGACATCGTACTCAAAATATCAGTTCTTCCAGTAAAGAGCCGGGTCACCCTTCCTTTTGTCTGGGACCGCCGCTTGTCCGTTATCATTTGGTTGATGTCGGGATACGCTGTAACAGTGTCAGCCTTTGTATACGATTAACCAACCAGCACACAACTCACCTGCCTGGCCGACAGTTATCCCCGACGTAATTCCTTTGCAGAGAATGTCGACAACCTTCTCGATACTCTCCTTGACAGCAGGTGTCTTCATATACTCCTCGGTAGCTTTCTTCAACAGCGGAATTTTCTTGTATTGATCCAGTTTGACTTCATCTGCAACACCCGGGACGTTAAAGCGAAAGTACGTATCCGGAAAGTCTGTAAACCGAGTTTCGGTAGAACGGTGAGCCAACTCGCAGTCTGTCGCCACCTCTTTCAACGATTGTAGCAATTCCTTGACGAAGGGAATTCCTGAGCCTGGATATTTTCCAGCCGATTCTAGAGATTTATTTCGGAACCCCGTCCCGAGACTCAAGACGCAGCCGATCTTGCACGTCTTGTCCAGAACCTGTGCAGCTTCGGAAAGCACCTCTTGAGACGGGTTGTTGCAGCCAAATGCACCGTCGATCAAATCTTCACCGGTCACTTCGGCGCGGTCGAAGAAAGTCGGCGCCGCCGATGTTGCTCTTGCTGCCTCGCAGATGGTGACATTCTCATCTGATATTACCGTGTCCTCATGGGAGTATGCTCGAATTCGACGTACGGCGGCAATCTCCTTGGCTCGTTGAGCACAAACGAAGGCCTTGCCGGTTAAAGGGTCACCCTTGGGGTTTCTCATCAATTGGCTTTCTCCGCGTTTTTCCACAATCGACTTGACAACTCTCTCTAGAGACCTTTCGTCGAACTTGGCGGAAATGCTGAACCTCCTGTTCCATTTGCTGAAGATTTCGCTCGCAAAGCTGTCGTATTCCTTGAGAGCCTCTGTGGTTGTCATTCGAAGTCTTCCTAAAAGAATGGCGATGAGTCTAGACGAGTGTAAGCGTCGCACTCAGGTCATTATGCTGCAATATAAATGTCTCTCACCCTCCGGTGCTGGTTCCTCCTATCAAGTGGAAGTAGTCGCACGGTTTGGGAATCTCATCGAGACCATCTTTCTCTTGGACTTTCGTCATGATCCTGTCGAGAATGACGAGTTCGCATACTCCTCGGACACCTCCACCGTCTTTATTGTGTACAAAGTTAGTCATGCATCAACGGGAAAATGGTAACCGTCAATACAGTAGACCAAAGAGGGTTTCTCATACCGAGCGAGAGGAGGTTGACAATGCCATCACACGCATACGAAGGAGCCATTATGGCTCGACAAATGATACCAACAACGACAAGAGTAAGTCAAAGATCAAGGCAGTAGATGCACCATCTTCACTGACATCTTCTCACTCCAATCCCCCACCGGGGGATAGCTTGAATTATACCCTCTAAGCTTTTCCGAGAAGAGGGGATGTTAACTGGCGAGCTAGCCGCCCATATCAATGGGGTGGATGGATGTGACCCTATCCGCTCGAAGCTCCATCGAGGCCACCGAAACGCCGTCCAATACCATTCACTCATTTGAGGGAGCTAAAGCGTCTAACACTGCCCCAAGTCCCCAACTGTAGGTAGTTCATAAGCTGCCTGAAGATCCCAAATTCGATTCGGTTGAGCTGCAGGTATCCGTTTTTGATTCTTGATCTGGGCCGCGAATAAATTTGTGTTGCTGTGTGAACCGTCAGTATTCTCTTGGTACACTGTAACGGATGCAAGTTCTACCACACCGTCGAGAGCACAAATGGGAAGTAGTATAGAGGTACCTGAAGCCTACCGTCCTTGATAACGGCTCTTCAGACCATGAAGTGGAGAGAGAAGAAAAATGGCCACCTGAAGACCTGCATCCCCCCTTATCATGTATGTCTGTCTTCAACAAGAGAATCATCACCAGCATTCACCTCTTAAGTGACTTTGTCAGCATTGCAAGCATTGTAATGAACTCAGGGAATAAGCATTAAAACATTTGATATTGTTTTTCTTGTTGACATAGCGACAACCTACCGCAGGGTAGAATGAGCAACATGAAAACATGCTCAAAGAGCAGTGTACATTCTTCCGGCCCGTTAGGTCATCGAAATAGCAAAAGCATGTACAAAATAATCTGTTTCGGCCAAGGAGAGGAGTTGACGCATGGCCAGTAGACAGTGCTATTGACACTGACCAAGAGAAAACACAAAACCTCGTCGTAATAACAGAAAAAGGAGGTTGATAACATATGATGACCCGCTCCCCAACGCCTGGTACCTACAGTCCTTCCCTTGCTCTATCATTCCAAATAATAGTAACCAACTTGAGTTTACTCTAGCGAAGCATGGCATTGAGCTTGACGTTGGTTCTGCGGGTCCTGTCATCCGCACGATCAACCTGTTGCAAACTGTCAGCAAGCTGCTACCGGAATCATCTTCACACCTGTTTACAATCACTTACGTTTTCACCGATCGCCGTAATCTGGGCATTCTGCTTCTCAAGAACCTGACCAATGCCGCTAGCGATGTTCTTCATATCCACCAGGTCATAATAGAGCTCCTTCTCCAGCATTTTTTGCTGTTTGAGGACTGCCTGCTGCTGGCCATCAGCATCGTCATACGTGAGCTCCTCCAAATCCTTCTCGGTCACATCATCCTCAAACGCCATGTAGTTCTTAACGGCCTTACCGCCCAGCAACTTCTTTTGCCCGGGCTTCAAGTTCTGCATGGTCTGCTGGTTCTGGAAGGCATTGGCCCGCTCCTTCTGACGCTCCATCTTCTCCAAGGTCTGGTCTGCGTATGTCTTCTCATCCATCTGACGGAGACTTTTCTTGCTCATAGCGGGAACGAAGAAGGGGCGGTCGTTGAGCTTGCCGAGATAGCCGGCCGTGTCCTGGGCTGTTTTCGTCTTCAAGTCTGTAGCAAGTTGTGAGCAGAGAGTAATGGCAAACTTCACAACCCGATGTAGTGCTTACCAATGCGGATAGAGGCATCATGAACCTTGTCCAGCCTATCTCCCTGAACCGACAAATTGTCGATGATGTTCGCTCCGAGGTTCTTCACGTTCTGCATGTGCGCTCTACTGCGCTGCAAGCTCTCCAAACCCTCATTGTGAGTACGCAAGATGTCATCCTTGGTCTTGTCCACCTCCAAATCCTGCTTCTGTTCCTCGGTGAGTTCCTCCTCCGGCACACCAAACTTGTTGCCATAGATCTCTTGGGGTGTGGGCTGGTAAGGAACATCTTGAGGTCCATCAGGAGGAATCTGTCCGGGCTGCTTGTTGTCGCCATACGTGACGGGGTACTGCTGCTGGTAGGGAGACGGTTGAGCAGAAGTACCCGCCGAGCCGCCCGAGTTGTACTTGGAATTGGAGTAGAGTTGGCTCTGCTTGGAGTCGATGGAGGGCTCGTAACGGTTCTGGTTGCTGGTGGAAGGGACGTCATATCGGTTATCGCCATATCTGTCCGTGGTGCCGAATCTCTCGTTCGTGAATCTTCCCGCAGCAGGCGGCTGCTGAACCGGACCTCCGGCGGAGTAAGGAGGAGGAGCTTGTTGGTTCTGGTACGGGGACGGACCACTGCTAGCGGTGCTGGATAGAGTAGATTGAGACTGAGCAGGGCTCGCGTACTGGTTGGCATACGGATCGACCGATGGTTGCTGGGCATAGGGGTTCTCGGGGGCAGCGGCCTCCTTGTTCTTCTTTCGTCCGAATGACCAGCCCATTTTGGGAAACTGTGATGATTACAATACTCAGTACACTTAAGTTATTGTTACAATGGGGATGTCAAAGAGATGGAAACTGATGTGTTGTGATTGACAGGATGCGGTGGAACTGGAACGAGAGGAAGGAGAAAAGGAGTAAAATGGATGGAGGGTTTGTTTTTTTAGGGAGAATAATCCATGAGTATGAGGGAAACAGGGGGATACAAGTAGTTCCCGCTTGGAGAACACTTCCGAATGTCTTGACTGGTGTCTGGAGAGCGTTCCAGGTTTCTGTGCTTCCTCCGACGGCCGATGGAGTGCTGTAAATGATTGGGGAAGGCCCGTAATACAAGCGTTGTAACCATGTTGGCAAGGAGGTCCCATGCTCATTTGTAGGTATGTACACTAGATAAGTTGCAGGAAGCAGCAGCAGCAGCAGGGGGCGATCTGGAGATGCCTGCATTGGCCACCGAGTGGGAAGGAAAGTGCTGACGGATCTTGCGGGTCTTGTGTTTAACCTGTAAGCAGCCATTTTCAGGTGTTGCTGTTATGCCAATGGCAGCGTGGAACATGTTGACCACTAACACCGACGGATGGCCTGCTTCCGCTGTGTCCGCGTCTCGCCCATGCTGAGATTTCGCCCTTTTTGGTTCCCTTTTTGCGAGACTGTCCGTGGGCTGCTTGGTGTTGAGGCTGTGTTGACCATTCCTGGCTCTCTTGGCGGTGGACGTGCCGGCATTCATCGTCACCCCATGTCCAGACCAGTCAAGAGGTGTTGTCTGATGTTTCCTCCAAGGGTCCAGTCGAACGGAAGTCGAAACGTGGATGGTGTCCATGGGGCCTCCTTTTCCGCTGGTTCCTGGCTCCTGAGTGGTGGAGGAGACGCTGAAATGCACAGGAAAGGGCAGTGGAGATGGGTGATCCAGGGGAAAGCGGGCTTGTACATGTCGCAGGCTAGGGCTGGACTGTGCTAGTGCTGGGGATTTGGATGGGTGGTGTTCCATCATAAATGCTTACCTTCATCCCACACGCCAAAGAACGCCATCGCCATCTTGATGGCTTCTTGGTCTTCGCCTCCTCTGTATGCTTTTGAGCCTCGGGATCGGGGTCGACATCATCTCTGGCCCATGTGTTTGTTCTCCATGTTGTGGTCGTCGCCCAGGTGCTGTATCTCCGGGTGGGCTTCTCCCAAATATTGGCTTCTCGCCAGGTGGGGTTCCTATCTTTGCGACCCATTTTGGCGATATCGAACTGTTAGTGGTGGCTGCTACAGCTCGGTGACGGATGGCTGAGATGAGGCCGTGGGAGGTCGACGGGCATCATCGAAATAGAGTTGTCGGGTGGTGTTCTTTTAGCAGGAAATGCTCCCGGTCGGTATTGCCTTTCGCCTCCGCCCCCGCTTGACTTGATCAATGAAGTGAATTCCTGCTGAGTTTGGTTTTGGAAATCCGAACAAAGAGACGGCATCGAAGCCGGCCGAGCTTGCCTGGAGTGTATGGTGGAGTGCAGACCGTGACTGCCCTCACTTCGTGGGAACTGCGGCAGCTGCTGTTAAGGAACAACCAGCTGGTGGGCATTTGACTGCGGAGAAATGACGGTTGGGTGGTAGTTGCGCAAGTACCGGATAACTGCCATGGCAGTGGCCTTGATTGCCGTGGTGTTAGTGCTCTGTAGGTTTGGAAGGAGCGGGCAGGAGCCAAGACAGCAGATGAGGTGGTGAGGGAGGAGAAATACACTACTTTACACTGCAACATGAAACATTCGCTCAGTAGAGCACGAGTATTAGGGCGGGACTTCGTTGCGCACTCTGCACAATAATCTTGATACCTTTCTCGGTTTCTGCTTCAACTGTGAGGTGGTTCGGTGTTGTTTGCAGCCCCACGTTGCAGAACTGTGCCAAGGTATTGAACCCGTATTCAACTGTACAAACAATACGAGATACTGACAATGGCTTGAGAATAAGAAGGCAACTGCTTGCGTCTTCCTGGAGTCAGATACTTGCAATGTGATCAGATTGTTACTTGGGGACGAAAGTCATTAAATGACGCCATCTTTCATCTCTTTTACAATGGGAAAAACTGGCTTGAGTGCCTGGGGACAGTATTCTACAATACTTGACATTATGCCGGACAATGCACAGACCGCCATAAGCATTTAGCGCTGGACGAAAGAGGAAGACAACATTGATGCGTCACTCACCGACCAAACACCTTTCACCTTTTTATTTTCGTTCTTTAACCTCACTCTTGACTTGACAAACCCCCCTCTTGCATTCACCGTATTGTATCTCAAAACAAAAGTCAACATTGGAACCCGTCATCACAATGTTCTCCAGCCTCAATTAAGCAGACCAGTGGTCTTGCCACAAGCACCCAGTTAGGACCCTTTCCACGGACCTCACCTAACCACCCACTATTCTCTTCGTTACCAACATCACCAGACACCGAGCAACTTGCTCTACAGCATCCAAAATGATTACCCGAATATACACACTATCCTCTCATAACACATCCCTCTATCGTGCAATACTAGTTCATCATCCCCGATATCACCACCACAAGACTCGCTGATATTTGTTATTGCTTGTTAAACCGTCTTGCTCAACATTACACATATCAACCAGAGTTTGTGATCCAAACTCCAAAGGTATCACCAACCCCTTATCAATCACACCACCAGCGCATAATCCCAGCGAACCCTGACACAAAAACACAAACATGTCCGTCTTCACTTTTGATCCCAACCCCCCGCGAGTCTCCTCTCCCTGGCTCAAATCCTCCGAAGGGCCCAGCCGGCGCTCCACTCCGGAGGCCCGCTCCTCAACCCCTACTACTCTCGGCGTCATCCAAACCGGTCTGCTCTCCGACTACAATGGCATCACCCGTCTAGAAGCCGAGCCCCAAGAGGGTCCAACCGAATACAAGCTCCACCTTCTCCTCCGCCCACGTCGCAAGTACGAGCACAGCAGCACCTCAACAGCCAAGATCTGCGGTTCAACCCAAAGCAAACCACTGCCTTATGATCCTACGTCCAAGTCACTACGCGGAACTCCCGTTTCTGCCGGAGGTGGCCCAGGCGCAACCACAACGAGACAGGACCGTTTCGAGCACTTGACTACCCAGTTGCTCTGGAGACTCCAGCAATCTTGTCCTTACCATGCCAGCTCCGCGGCTGTTGATTTGGTGATTCCGAAACTGCCGGCCCCGGATGAGCTGGAGCGGGATGGGAAGGTGAAGCTAGGAAAGCTGTTACCGGGACTGGAGGCATCGAGAGGTGCGCTGTATGAGATTGGGGTGGCAGATGATGGCACATTGGTGGGGCTGACGAGAGATGAGCTGGATGAAAGTTTGGCAAACCTAAGGGTCATGGCGGCGAGCTTGGGGTGCAACATGAATGTGCTGAGGATGGTGATTGTGGGCGAGTGCGAATGGATTGAGTCTTTGGTTGAGCCTGGGGATTCCTTATTCGAAGAACCTCGGAAGTCACGACGCAAGGACAAGCTATGGGTGGCTGAAGCGCTGATCATGCCGGATTTGACTGCTCAAGCTAGCGGTACTGTGCCTTCGGCTTTGCCCACCATGAAACAGGGTCCGTTGACCACGAACCAGTTGCGCGTTACGCTTACGGGGCCGACTACGTCTGGGAAGTCTACGCTTCTGGGCATTTTGTCTCAAGGCTCACTGGATAATGGCCGTGGGAAAAGCCGGCTCATTTTGCTGAAGCACCCTCACGAAGTAGCTTCGGGCGTCACTTCCTCCGTGGCTCAAGCACTGGTCGGTTACCACGAAGACGAAATCATCAACGATGCTCACAGCGGAGTGGAATCTTGGATCGACGTTCACGACTTCACCAGAGACGGTCGATTAGTCTATCTGGTGGACTCTGCCGGAGCTCCAAGATATCGTAGGACCATCCTTCGCGGTACCGTCGGTTGGGCGCCGCATTGGACACTGCTTTGCATAGCAGCCGATGGCAGCGATGCTTCTCCTTCCGTTGACGCCCCGGCTCCGGGAACCACTCCAACAGGTGGCAGCAATGGCATCGACCTAGCCTCCGCCCACCTCGAGCTATGCTTGAGACTTAAACTGCCCCTTGCGATAATCATTACCAAACTTGATCTCGCATCCAAGCTGTCCATCGTGTCGACGCTTAACAAAGTTCTCACTGGCATCAAGCGAGCCGGCAGAACTCCAGTTATTCTCAAACCCGACGCTACCAACCCTTCTGATCTTACTCATGTCTCGCCAACCGAGGAAGCAGCCGTCGCTAAGGTCGCCGACCAACTTGCTTCTAACGGTGACTTCCTATCAGTCGTCCCGATAGTCCTCACCTCCGCCGTCGATGGGCGCGGCCTAGGCATGCTGCACGCCTTACTCCAGGGCTTGCCTTTGCCTCCCACCCCAACTGCCCACGACTTCACCGGCCCAGCTCTAAACCCTGAGCAGCCTGCTTCACTCTTCCACATCGAAGACCAGTACAATCTCGCTGCATCCTCATCGCTAGCAACGGGCGACTCAGACGAGGAAACAGACCTCGGCACCGTGGTAGCAGGCTATCTTCGCTTCGGCAGCCTGTCGATAGGTGACACGGTAGTTGTCGGTCCCTTTCCTTCATCTTCCTCGTCTGACGACTCCAGCGACACGCCCAGCCCAGCCCCTCCTTCTCCTGGCGCAGTAGGAGCCATAGCCACGGGCAGTGACAACCACCTTCGCCCTACCCTATCTGATATCGAAGCAAACCCGTCATCAGCTGAACTCAACCGCCTTAACTCATCGGCCAAATCCAATCCGTCGACTTCTGCTTCCTCTGTAAAAGGAGAGTGGCACACCGCCAAGGTTGTGTCTATCCGTAACCTCCAGCTGCCTGTGCAAACACTGGCGGCCGGGCAGGTGGGGTCAATAGGGATGGTGTTTGATCATCGTGACCCGAACACTGCAGAGACAAGCAATGGAAACGGCAATGGGAATGGCACAGGGGGTAAGAGGGCAGCGAGGATAAGAAAGGGGATGGTCCTCGCTGTTCCCGGGAAACACATGTCGTCTACTACCTTGCAGGCTGCCAGTGGGGTCACGGCGGTCTTTGAGGACGATAATCACGGGTCCTCCTATGGTGATGGAAATATGGAAGACGAGGGGGTGGCCGGATCGCTGACGGTGGGAAGCTTGGTGAATGTTTACGTGGCCAGTGTTAGGGCGTCTGCAAGGGTGGTGAGGGTCACGAGGCTCACTCCCAGTCCCTCTCTTTCTCCCGAGTCTACGGGTCAGGATGATGGGAGTGGCGGGGACGTGTTTACCTTTGGAGAGGGTGAAGATGCTTATAAAGACCCTTTGCACGCGAGCAATGGAGATGGTGATGGCTTAGACCCAAGTGGCGAGGAGACAAGAAAGAAGGGATGTGAAGTCCAACTGGAACTCCTCTCGAACCGCGAGTGGATCGAGCTGGGCTCAAGGATCTTGATCCTGGGTGATAATGGAAGTCGGGATCGGTCGTCGCGGTTGGAGGGGTATGTAGGGAGGGTTGTTGAGATTGTTGAGTGATCTGTCTTGTTTTCCTATGGTTTGTGTCTGAACGTGAGTAAGTGTGGCAGCGAGTCTTTTTTGTTCTTTTGTCCCTTTGGATATGAGTTGTTTGCTCTTGCTTTGGTCATAGCGTAACACTGTTTATTGTTCTTGATGTTGTCGATGTTGTCGAAGTCTGTTGTTGGTTAGATGGCTTCTGGGTAGCATAGTGTTTTTGTTAACATTGATGAACTGTGTTTTGTTTTAAACAACGGCTCTATTGGGTGTTCTCCGGGCTGCGTGATGTATGAACAAATGCCGTGATGTTTCGTAGCAATGCGTGCTTCCAGTTTCATGATCGGATCTTGCGCCGGTCCCGTGTTTGCCATCCAAAACATCATGTTCGTCATTGCTCTGCCTATCGTGCTTCGAAATTCCACGTCGTCAAAACACACATAACAGTTTCCTATGTCGTCCTCGAACAAAGGGCTGTCTTTCATTCCTCCTCTTTTTCCTCCCTCTCAGGTCTTTCCACACATGACCATATCCCACTTCCCACCTCCCACTCCTCTTCTCTCCCCATTTTCTCCCCCCCCCCCTCCCCTCCTCCGCCCAGCCTAACGGCACCTAGCTAAGCCCTAACCAACCCATAAAACAACGTCCAAGTCAACACGAACCCCGCAAACCCATTCATGATGCCCCCCGCCCAAAACTCGAACCCACTCCGGAAATATTTCTTGACGCCGCCTACTCCGCTCCCCAAGCCGTTGCCCGTGCCTTTATTGTCTTTGTACTCTTTTGGTGACGACAAAGGGGCGACGCGGACGAGGTAGATGAGAAAAGAAGTGAGCAACGAAAAAAAGATGTAGAAGAGGAAGCCGGAGTAGGATTCGAGACCGAGGATGCCGGCGGAGATGCCGAAGAGGGAGGCGGAGAGGGATTGGAGGTTTTGGAGGGCCTGGATATCAAGTTAGTCTTGGTGGGGGGGACTGTGGTTAAGATGGGGGAGGGGAGGGGAGAATGGAGGGAAAAAGAAGGGAGGGGAATAAACGAACCTTGGAGTTGTGCATCACGCTCTCCTGCACGATGGGGGAGATTTGGAAGTCTCGTTCGGATAGCATGGTGGCTTTTGAGTGTCTTGTCGTGAATATGATTTGATTTAACGGATGGTGGTGTATCGTGTATCTGGCGCCAGGCCTACTATGCGACAGGAAGACGAAAGCTTGGGTGCTGTTGATTTCTTGGCGGGGGTTTGATGTGCAACCAGCTAATTTACCCCGGATCTTCGTCTTGTTTTTCGTCGCTTTTGTTTCGTTTCGCTTGTTTCGTTATGTCTCGTTTTAAGTATCGGCGAATTCGTTTCACGTCGTGGGGTCGTTAAGATGGTGATAGTACACTCCCGTGGTCTGGTCTGGATGGTGTCGTTGATCAACTTAATTGCATGGACTGGACCGGAGCCGCAACGAGCGGGAACTGTCAATTTACCCAGCTCCCGTCGCCCCAGATGGCCAACGTCAGGGAAACGGAGCTGGCCTGGAGCTTCAGTGCTGAGTGAGCCTGGGCAACAATTAATGCCTGCCCCGACAGCCATCCACAGCAGAATAGATCCCGGCAGGCAACGGCGCACGTGGCAGGGCTTCAGTTGCTACCTAAGAACCTTTACGGCTCTCCGGCTCCATTGCCGGCTTCCGGTGGAACGAAGAACGAAGCCTTGGGCCGTCGATCCGTTGTACTGTAATCTTATCGTATTCTTACCGTTTTGTCAGCATTCCTGACCTCTCGGCGTCGGCGACGGTAACGCGGCGACACTCCAGCTGGCATGTGTCGAGGTAATTTCCAGGGTTCAAGGTGCACTAGCGTAACAACTGAACGGTCCAGCCTCCTGAAGAAAAGGTGTCATTCTACTGAAATGTTTCAACCTACCTAGGGATTGATGGTTGGATCTCCCAGCCTGTCTCTTTTTTCATCTGTTGGAGCCCTTTCTTCACCGATATCAAGGCTGAGCTCATGGTCTATGGATCACTTCTGGGAGTGACATAACTGTGCGACGTTGGGCCTTTTTTTAATCTTCCAACTTTTCACTTTGCTGGCATTTGGTTACTGGACTGGAGACGGGCAGCAGATCATCACAGCAAAGACGGTAAGATACAGAATCCACCCACCCCCTTTGGTTCGCGAGTTGCAGAACGAGTGGCGTCAAATTTCACGTCATCTGCCAGGGTTCTGTGACCTTTAATGAGCATCCCCAGGACCATCAAGTATGTTATTTTGGGACTCTGCTGTGGAGAGAAACACTAAATTCATGGAGAAGAAGAGGCTTCCATAACTGATAATCATTCCAGTACACTAGTATTGGCACTTGTCACAATTTACAATTTCTCATTTTGGACAACGCCAGCCGCTCGCTCGTTCAAGGCTCGGACGTCGCCAGTTGCCCGTTTCCCGTACGACAACCCCGTTTCAAGCGGTCATCAATACTGTAGTCACTTACACCAATTTCCAACTGAACCTTGACACTCCTTTTCAACATCGACAACAACATACAACCACCCAGACCACGATAGAACACGATCAATCGAATCTTGACAACGTTTCACGGAACAACAAAGACAAAAGGGCATATGTACCGATAACCGACAGCGCTAGTACCAACACTACTTACTCCAACATTTCACCTTGCGCCGCACTTTGCTTTCGCACGTCTCGACCACCTCGCATAGCATAAGCGACACCAAGAAAACCCACCGATTCCTAGATCTCAGCCACACCGACCCACGCCTGGCTTTAGCTCTGCAGAACAACGGACATTAAAGACGATCGAAGGGGGAACCAGGACTTGAAACAAGGAAACTGCGTGGTGCCGCCGGCCTGGTATCTGTACTCCGTCGAAACAAGGGGGACAAGCACACTCCTCTTTCTTTCTTCCTTGTTCAGAGTGCCGCCTGGCGTCAGATGGAGAGCTAGCACCACATATCGACCTCCCGTTTCTTTGTTGGATGCTCCTCTCCCCTTCTCTTGTCCGAGTCCCATCATTGTCCGAGTCGTTGTCCGGTCGTAGTGGCATCCATGGAGACCGTAATTCAGGATTGCGAGCCTCTTGCCAATTATCTCAAGGGTTCGCTTACCTACTCACCGTCCATCTCCAAAGCACAGCAATACTTACTTGCCATGACAGATCAAGGCGAAGAAACACGCAACAATGACTGGCCAACACCGCCAGCCTCCGAGTCCGACCACAATGGCCAGTTCCACGATGCCCACGATGACCGCCTCTCCGAACACAGCATCTCACCCCCCTCCTCTCCCAACTTCGCTCCCGTAGGCCGCCCCATGGTCCGCAAGCGGTTCCGAAAGAACGCCCCCGAGCCAATACAACTCGAGATCCCACACCGCATGAAGCGATACAGCTCGCTTGGCTCGCTACATGACTCCTATTCTGTAAGGATCTACGCTCAAATAATAGGGGCCATGTGTGTTGAACTAATGACGTTTGTCCGTGGTGAAAAGAAGGCCGTAACAGCAAGGATAGACCGCGCCGACAACCAGAAATTTATCGAGCAGTTCCGGTACACGATCGTCGCTTCGCAGTTGTTGAGTGGGCACTCGGTTGCTGGACTTAATCACTTTTACCGAAATCAGGACGCCGATGCTTCGAAAAAGCAAAATAACGATGTCGTACTACCGAACTCGACGGGGCTGATCGCAACGGCTGCGGGAGCGTTGGTGGTGGCATTGGGGATAAGGTGGTTATGCTTGGGAGGATACGCCCGTCTGACCAAAAAGGGGGTGCTGGTTGCCGTTGTGGTTGCCGTTGCGGTGGGATTGGTGGCGCACTTTTATATCCGGAAGCAGTGGCTGAGATATGTGCGGAACAAGGCGTTGGCGGAGGTTGCTACTTTTGTGGCGAAGAGTCAGGATTGGGATAGTGCTACGAGTGCGGCACTGTCGTTGATTCAGGAGGTTGAGTTGGTGTCGAGGGGGTATAGGCTGTGAGTGCGCTCGTCCGGAGGAAATTGGGGGTAACTGCGGCTAACAACAACCAGGAGCGCACCACTGCCGCCTATCAGCAGAATCGAAGACCGAAGCCAAACGAGACGATGCGGACGCCTGCGCAAGGCTCTTAAGCAGCGGTTTGCCGATATGATCAAGAGTTACATCCAAGTGACGACAGCGGTGAAGGGACTCTCGGAACAGCTGGATCTGGAAAAGTACTACGACGTTTACGACATTACCGACTTTGACGTTTCCGATGCGATGCAAGGGTTTCCGGAGGTCGCGACGGAGGAGGCGGAGTCGTTACGGGTGCTCAAGATTGCGGCTGCTCGGTTCCATACCATCCGCAAGCTGCTTCTCTGTGCTTTGCTTGCGTTCGAGGCTACGGGAGATAACAGCGACTTTGTGCGGTGGTCGACGGCGGCTCAGTGTCTCAGCCAGCTGAGCAGTCTGACTGGTGATTGCTACGAGAGGCTTCGTCTCATCTTGAGCGATGAAGAGAGTGAGTTTCATCCCGTATTCTTGCCCGCTACAAACACACAACAGCTAACAAAACCAGGCTTCCCCGCCATCCCCGAAACCAAGTTTCCTCTTTCCCCCAACCGCGAGAAACGCCGAACGCAATTCCGCAAGCTCAACTCTCTATCGACGGGCATCCGCGGTCTCCAAGCCAAGCTGGCACTGTTGCGTGAAGAATCCGAGAAAGCACTCAACGAAGCCGACGATATCTCTGAAGTTGGTTTCGACCTCATGTCGCAATACGAGTCCATCGGCCAAGACCTCAAGATGCTGCAGCAAGCTTGGGAGGACGGCAAGGCTGCCCTAGCATCCGGAATCGACCGCAACGAGAAACGTATTTCGTCCATGAGCATGCTGTACTCGCCTGCTACCTCTCTGAGCGGGTTAACCACTGTCGGCGAAGAGAACGAAACCGGTGGCGGAGCGGAGGATGCGCTGAAAGCGCTAACCGGGGAGACTTCTCCCACACGAAACTCTTCGCCAAGTCCCAACGAGCCGGATGTGTTTGAGGCGGTTGCGCTATCGGCTCGGCCAAGAAGTATGCTGACCAGGGAAGAGAGGTTGGTGAAAATGAAGGAGGAGAGAGAGACGAGAGCAATGCAGAGGGAGAAGGCGGAAGCGAGTAGGGGCATGTTGAAGGAGTTGGAGATGGTGATTAATCTGAGGCCGAAGAGACATACAACCATGGGGCCAGGCGGGGGAAACGGAAGGAGTGCGGCGCCGACGAGGATCTCTTTATGACGACAGACAAACTCTGCGGCATTCTCTCTTTTTTTCTTCGGGGTTTCTTTCTTTGACCATTATAATCTTGCATGGCATGGCACTGCGCGCAGACAAAAGAGAGGGGCGAACAACAACGAGAAGGCCAACTTGCCAAGTGTTCTTCAACAGCAACAACAACAACAACAACAACAACCACAACCTTGGGCAGAAAGGCGTTTTGACGGATACACAGACCATGGGAATATTTGAAAGTTGGGGCAGGCAAGCGAGCAATGTGGGATACAGAATCTAACGGCGTTTATACACTATACAGACGATCTTGGGCGGGCATTCTGTAACAAATTCTTTTTTTTGAATTGGGGGAGGGTGTAAGATAGGTGAATAATGTAATAATCAAAATATCTTGGAGAATGGAGGCAGAACAGAGTTCGAGCAGAAATGAGGGAGTCAAATAGTTGAAGTCATATCATCGGAACTGAGCAGCATACCTTCGACATTGCCATCGAGACACGATTCAAACAGAAAGAGGGGATTCAGGGCGACAGCTCCCACTGAAAACGCGAAGATTGCGCCTGAAAGCGGACTAACAGCGCTGGAGAACGGGACCGTGCACCGGGAGCTAGCCCGAAGCGGTAAATCAATTAAGCCTAACCCCAGCTCAGCGCGTTTAGCTGCCATTAGCAGGCGCGTCAAGTCGCGAAGTGGGTGTCCCACCACCTGTATTGGTGGTTCCTCTCTTTTTATCGTCCATTGCCTGCCTGTTGCAGCTTTTTGAACAAAACCATAACTCTTCCCAAATCCAAATCTTTTCTTCTCTCTTCTTTTTTCGTCAAACCACGAGCGCCTCTCTCTCCCGAAAGTGATACCCAGCGCGCGCATATTTTCTTCCCTCTTTGTCTTTTTTTCCCCGTCGAGTTCGGTAATTCACATCCATCAGTATGTCGTCTCTGTCTGAGCGTGAAGCTGCCTGCTGCCTGCTCGCTTGCCCGGCACTAGGAAGAAAAGCTGGAGAACAGAAGTGATGGGTTGCTGACTGGAGGACTATCACAATAACAGAAATGCTTGAAGCACGGTTGGAGCAGGCGTCGATCCTGAAGAAGGTATTGTTTTGTCCTCTTCCTCTCCAGAGCTGTCTGTTTCCTTTCCCAGCTAAAAGACACCCACTAACTCTGTCATGATGATGACGATGATGTCCAGGTCGTCGACGCCATCAAGGACCTCGTGCAGGACTGCAACTTCGACTGCAACGACTCGGGCATCGCCCTGCAAGCCATGGACAACTCGCACGTCGCGCTCGTGTCCATGATGCTCAAGACGGAGACCTTCTCGCCCTTCCGGTGCGACCGCAACATTGCGCTCGGCGTCAACCTGACGTCGCTGACCAAGGTGCTCCGCGCCGCCCAGAACGAGGACATCCTGACGCTCAAGGCCGAGGACGCGCCCGACGTGCTCAACCTCGTCTTCGAATCTTCCGAAAACGACCGTATCTCCGAGTACGACCTCAAGCTCATGGACATTGACCAGGAGCACCTGGGCATTCCGGATACCGAGTACGCGGCCACCATCAGCATGCCGTCGTCTGAGTTCAAGCGCATCACCACCGATCTCATGGCCATGAGCGAGAGCGTCAACATTGAGGCGAGCAAGGACGGCGTCAAGTTCAGCTGCCAGGGCGACATTGGCAACGGCAGCATCACCCTTCGCCAGCACACCAACGTCGACAAGCCCAGCGAGAACATCGAGATTGAGTTGAGCGAGCCGGTTTCCCTTACGTTCTCGCTCAAATACCTGGTCAACTTTTGCAAGGCGAGCGCGCTGTCGAGCACGGTCAAGATCTGCCTTTCCAACGAGGTGCCGCTTTTGGTCGAGTACAACATTTCGGCTAGCAGCTACTTGAGGTTCTATCTTGCGCCCAAGGTATGTCTTTGTTTGTCATTTTCTGGGTGGTTGTTTTCTGTCAGGTGTGATGCTAACTGGTTGTGATTTACAGATTGGCGACGAGGAGTAATCGCCCCATTTACCTCCAACAACCGAACCGCATCTCTGTTACGAACACCACGAAACTATGCCTTCATGTATACCTCGAGTTGCTATAAAATCATGGGGAGGAGGAGAATTGCAAGTCATGTAGAAGATAAGGGTTGATGCAGTGATGAGAAGAAGAAAAGGGATATGAAGAAAAAGAAATCTGTGTTTCTGAAAGAGTCTGGCACTAGTACACACAAATGTTTTAGAGGGCGTTTTGTTCTTTCTTTCTGCTGCGAAGATGAATGCTTAGGGGAGACGACGAGGTGTCAATGAATATTGCGATGGCCTCCAACACAACACCTCTACCGAGGAACACGATGCTGTTGTCGTTCCCTTTTTCTGTACAATGGTTTTACATTGACATCGGGAAACTGTCCGCCCTGTACCACTGATCATTGCTTCTCGGGAGTTCAGCTTGGCGTTGAATGTAGGTATTTCGGAGGTATGTTAAATCACAAGTACCCTTGTGACATGACCACTTCCCGTCAGTCGGCGTGTTTTCCAGAAATCTTCCACCCGACTGTTTTTTTTTTTTTTTTCGTCCGATGAAGGTCCTGGTGTTCACCAACTTCCCCACATTGTTCGTTCAATGTATGCTGTAACTTACCTACCCACCACGGCACCTGCGTGACGTCCCCTCCCGCCTACACTACAACAGGGCGCGCCCAGCAGCTCTGAATGGACTCCGCATTCAAGTTGCCCCTAAAACCCGCCCTGCAGGAAACGTTTTGGCGGGGCATGGGTGGTTCCTGGAAAAAAAAGAGTCATTGACTGGCCGGCCCTGTGCCATGACCGTTAGCGGCGAATTTCTGGACCATTCGAGGACTCGAATCAAGATGTGGGCAAATGGGTGGCACAAGAGGGCGATATCGCAGTTTATTTGTTTGATGATACTATTTGCAATTGATCGAATCTTTCGGCTATATACGGTCTTCTTCTTTCACCGCTGACTGACTGACTGACTGACTGACTAGGTCTAGGGTCAGAATCACTTGTTGTGTCATAGTGTTGCTTAGCTCTTTTCCGGAATCTTTCCTCCATCTTTTCTTGACCCGGTGATCATCCAATCCTTCCAGTCCTCTGACTTCTTTTGCGAGTTTGAGACAGACCTCGTTCTTTTTGACAACAAACATTCCCTACGTCTTTTGACTTTGGCATCAATTCTCAACATATCGTCGAGATTCTAAGCGGCCGATTATTCTTTATAGAGACAATCTATACCACCGTATTGACAGACCGTTCGTTGCATCTTCAGCTCGGCTTACTCGGCTTACGTACCTCTCTCTACCAACGATCGAGATCCTTCGCGCCGCCACTCTACGCCGCAGGACATCTACCGAACATAACCAATTCGAACGAAGGAACTCTCTTTAACGAATCTCGAGTTCGATCTTTCCTCTACAACCACCAGAAGCCGAATCGCATACAACGTACTCTACCAAGGTCACCATGAGCGACGGAGAGCCTCCAGTCCCCGACACCCGCGTGTTGGCTGTCGCAAGCCATGTAAGTCTAGTTCTCCTTTTCAATTGATTTCAGGTTGGATCAATTGCTGACTGGGAGTGCTTAGGTTGTCTCCGGGTAAGTTCCGATCTACCTACAAGCTTTGCGCCGGCCTCTCGAGATAGACCAACCGAGTCCGAACCAGACAAGACGAGATGAGACGACAAGGAAAAGAATACAAAGAAGAAAAGAAAACCATTGGCTAACATCGATATGTCTTCCCCCAGCTACGTAGGCAACAAAATCGCCGTCTTCTCCATGCAATCCCTCGGCTGCGACGTCGCGGCCCTCAACACGGTGCAGTTCAGCAACCATACCGGCTACCGCCAATTCACCGGCACGCGCGTGTCCGCTTCGGAAATCACCGACCTCTACCGCGGTCTGAAGCAGTCTTACCTCGATGACTTTGACATGATGCTGTCCGGGTACGTCCCCGGTGCTCCAGCGCTGGAAGCCGTAGGGGAGATAGCGAAGGAACTCAAGGAAAAGGCTCAAGCCCGCGGGAAGCCTGGGAGTTTCTTCTGGGTGCTGGATCCCGTGATGGGCGATAACGGGAGTCTGTACGTCGCGCAGGATGTGGTGCCGGTATACAAAGGGTTGGTGCAGTATGCAGACCTGATACTCCCGAACCAGTTCGAGGCCGAGTGCGTACCTTTCTTTTCCTCCCCTTCCCTTCCCCTCTCTTCTTGTTGGATCGAACTAACAAATAAACGGCACAGACTCCTCTCAGAAGTCAAAATAGTCGACATGCCCTCCCTAACCCGCGCCATCTCTGTCCTGCACGAGCGCTACGCCATCCCGCACATCATCATCACTTCCGTCTCTCTTCCCGACGCTACTACCGTCTCCTCCACCATGCCCAACTCCGTACCCGGCTCTTCGGCACCCACACCAACACCCCAAGAAGAAGGCCAAGGCCAATCACAACCGCCCCGCACCAAAACCCTCAGCGTAGTCGGCTCAACAATGACTTCTGCCCGCCAACCGCGCGCCTTCCAGATTAGTTTCCCCGCCATTGACTGCTACTTTTCCGGCACGGGCGATATGTTTTCCGCGTTGATGCTCGTGCGCATGCGGGAGGCGGTGTATAACACTGAGGGAGACTTGACGGAGCGGGAGAGCTGGTTAAGCGAGGACAATGTGGACGCGCTGGACTTGCCGCTCGCCAAGGCCGCGGAGAAGGTGTTGGCGAGTATGCACGAGGTGTTGACGAAGACGGCGGAGGGGATGAAGGGGAGGGTGCAGAGGGCTAGGGGGTTTGTGGATGAGCAGCTTCAGAGAGAAAAAGCGATGGCGATGACGGATGGTGTTAATGGGTGTGGACATGCGAATGGCCATGAGACGGGTCAGGATGGGCATGTGGATAAGAAAGTTAAGCTGGATTCGACGACGACGACGACGACGACGAATGGTAATAGCAATGGCGTGGAAGATGGGGAAAAGACGGAAGAGAGGATAAAAGAAGAAGCAGAACGAAGGAGGAAACAAGTGGAGGAAGCGGAAAAGGAAGAAGAAGTGCAGGCGAGGAAGAGGTTACATTTGATGAAGAGCAAGGCGGCCGAGTTGAGGCTGGTCAGACATCTGGATAGTTTGAGGCATCCCAAGGTGGAGTTTAGGGCTAGGAGGATAGAGTGCTCTTAGTCCTTTTTTTTTTTTTTTAGTTCTGTTTGGGTGTAGGATTAATGTCTTTGCGAGAGGGAGAGCGAGGAATAGAAGGGGTGTGGGATGACGGGAACAGCATTGGATAGCGGGAGTTATTGTTGATCTGCTGTTGGTGAGCGAGGCGCTATTCTGTTCTACTATAGAAGCTAGATTCGAGCACGGCATAGCATTGCGGGAGCTTTGGGGGAGGGAGTTGGTTGGTGAATGTCCCGATTAACAGTATATACCACACCACATGTAATTCATACATCAAGAATTGGATCAGAACAGAAGGGTTGTAGAGTCTTGATTTGAAATGAACCATCATGTCTAGAGCTTACCTCTGCTGCCCGTCAAGTCGTTCGTTCATTCATTCCTTGCTCATTTCACCATTCATATGTATCACCGAAATTTGTGTCCATATTCACCAATCCGAAGTATCGTATGCATTTCATACCTTTCAATGTTTCTGCCAGATTTCCCGAAACGCCGTCCATCTATATCGCTTCATACCCCTAACCCCTTTCTTTTCTTTTCTTTTCTTTTCCTCCGACCGAAAAAAACACAAGAACCAGTTTTCTTTCTTTCTTAGTTCTTCACCTGCTCCCCAACACCAGAACTAACGCCCGTACTCCCGAACCCGCCCGCGCCTCTGACGCTCTCCTCCAGCTGTTCGACCTCGACCACCTCGGGGGTATAGATGCGTTCGAGAACCAGCTGCGCGACGCGATCGCCCTCGTTGACGACAAAGTCGACGTCCGAGTGGTTGAACAAGAGAACCTTGACTTGGCCGCGGTAGTCGGCGTCGATGACGCCGGCGCCGACATCGATGAAGTTCTTGGCTGCTAGGCCGGAGCGGGGGGCGATGCGGCCGTCTATGGTTTTTTGTGTTGCTTTCTGTCAGCGAACATTCTGAGGGTAGAAAGGTAAGAAGGAAATGTAAAGAAAGGGAAGGTATAAGGAAAAGGAAGGGAAGGGAAAGGACAGGAAAGGGACGGGAAGGGAAGGAATAGAAAGCGAGCGAAGCGAGGACACCCCCGGAGGGCCTCCACGGAGGGCCTCCACGGAGTGGCCACCGGAGGTGCACTCGAAGCAAATTAAGAATAAAAGAAAAAGTAAACAGAGGAGAAGGGCGAAAGTGAGGATATTAAAAGAAAACGTACAAGTCCCAGCAGGAACAGCCATGGAAATATCCGTATCCACCAGACCCTTTCCGCGCGCAGGGATCGTAGTCTCCTTGGAAGCGTAGATGTCATAACCAGCAGCGAAGGCGGAGCCGCGAGTGGGCAGACGGGCCTTGTCGGACAGCTTCTTGATGAGGAGAGGAGGAGTTTGGTCGACCTTGGTAACGGGAGTCTGGGTATCGGCAGTCATGGTGGCGGCGGTGGTAGTGGCGGTAGCGGTGGTTTGGGAGGAGGAATCAGCGGAGGTCTTGATGCGCTTGGCGGGAGGGGAGGAGGTAGTAGTAGGTTCGGTGGTGCCGGTGGTCATTGGTGTGATGGTTGCGAAGAAGTGTTTGAATGTGGTGGTGGTTTCGGAAACAATTGAAAGAGAAGAAGAAGTGGAACGAGAGAGGAGAAGACGGCGGGCAACAAACATTGATTTGCTGCTGCGCGAGGGAGGAGGAGGAGGAGGAAACGCAGCTGTTTCAATGGTGGGGAGGCGGCAACACTGCGGGCGCAAAAGCAAAGCAAAAGCGCAGCCAAAGCTGAATGTAAGCGCGTTGGGTGACGCGTCGGACGGACGCGTAAATTGATTGATTTCAGGGGTCCAAAATCTCTTGGCCAGTGCGTTGCCTGCCGGGAGAATGGCTTGAGGTAAAGGCAACAGAAAGGAAGAGGGTGATGAAGCTGAAGCCCAAGGAAGACTAGGTCTGTAACCTCAAAAAGATCGACTCGAGCCAGATACCTTGGATATTCCACGATGATAGACTTCCATGACTGTGGATGCCCTAATCATCCAACTCCCTCCCAAAATCCACCAACCTCAACCTCGTAGCATCCCTCGGGTGGAAAACAGCCACCTTGCTCCTGACCAAAAACCTCGCCGCCGCCGTCTCCCGCTCAATCTTCACATAGGCCGCCGAGCTATCCCCTCCGGCATCCATGCTCTTATTCAGCAGTTTCTCAATCAGACTCCTCATCTCCGCTCCCGCCGCACTCGCCTCATCCCTCTCCCTCTTTCTCTTGCCAGTACCCTGTCTCCCCTCCTGCTGGTCTTTCTGGGCACCCCAAATCTCATCAATCCTCCTCTGCCTTCCATCCCCCTCTTCTTCTTGATCCGTCTTCTTCGCCTTGGCCTTCTTCAACTTGCCCCTCGCATTAAATCCCGCCTCCAGATCCTCGGCATCCAAGTCCATCATCTCTCCTACCACCGGCCCGCCCATTTCCTCCGCTGCCAGTAACGGGCCAAGGTACTCCTCGATGAACCAGTTTAGTTCTCTGATGAGCTTCTTGGTCTCCTCGTCGTATCTGTTCCGCTCTTCTTCCATCTTTTCCAGTTCCTCTTTTGCTAGCTCCTCGGGCGTCCTCTCCTTCTTTGCTTCCATCCCTTTCCTGAGCAATTCGACGCGAGCCTGAAGAGCTTCTTGGAGCTCCTTCTGCTCGCGGACTTCGGTTTTCAAGTTTTCGAGATGGCGCTTTTGCTGGTCAAGGAGGGTGGAGGAAGAGGATAGGTAAGAGTTGGTTTGGGTGATGGTTTGACTGGTTTTGCGGATGGCGAGCAGGGCAGGGAGGACGGAGTCTGGGAAGGGGAGGAGGGGAGTTGGGTCCGACTCGGCGAGGGAGGTGTAGGCGCGGGTTAGGAGGTGCATGGAGGAGAGAGGGTTGAGGGGTGGTGGTGGTCCATTTTGGCCAATGTTTTGTTTTAGCTGTGAATGTGTTATTAGTGAGTGAAAAGGGGGTTTGTTGACATGACATGGGGCTCGGCTCACCTCGTTCAAAGTCGCCTCGGCTTCTGCCGTCATTCGCTTGAGTTCGCGAATTGTTCGCTCTAGGTTCGCTTCATGCACAGGATCCTTGACGCGACCACCGCTGCCGTTGCTTGAGCCTGTGGTAGTGGATCCTTGGATGATGCCTTCCATGGTGTTGGTGTTGTTGGTTGTTGACATGGCCGGCTCTCCGAAGCCCTTGTCGGTCTGGTTGGCTCAAGGGGGTGGCAAGTGAGGAAAACCTAAGCGGGACACGGTATCACAGCGTGGAGTAGTGAGAAGTGAGAGTGAGAGAGTGTTGCACTTGCAAGCAGGTATCGGTGTTTATTGGTGTACAACGTCCGGGACGAGAATTTGGCAACTAGTAGTGCCACGTTCATGAAAAGTGTGTGTTTCCACCCGGATATGTCCAGCAGCCGGGATGGAGAAGCTCAAAACACGACTTCCCGTAATACGAATTGGTTCCCGATGGAGGAGCTTAGTCAACAGCCAACCACGAAGCTCTCACCGAAGCCTGAGTGAATACGCGCCCGTTTGTTTTCGTTGACGGCGTTCGAGGCAATCAACCTGACTGGGATGAAACCACCAAGACAACAACAACAACCAGAACAACAACGAGATGGTTCACTGGTTGTTTCTCTCGTCGGATGTGTCTCGATGGTATTGTTAAATACGCCGTAACGCCGTGTTACTGTATTACAGCAGCAATGCCGGTGTTCAGTTGCAGGCAGCTAGCACGCATTAAATGCCTGAGCTTGCTTGGTGGTGCAGTGGTTGAAGAACTGTGAACTGAAGCAGGAAGTGGAAGTGCTGAAATCGGATCGCAGCTTCTCTCGCTCGTGTGGCCTGGACCCACAGAGCTCGGATGCCTTGGCAACTGGGCGTTGGGCAACGAAGGAGGGAGGGAGCTGGGGTTGCAGGCTGGGCTGCGGCGCCGTCCAGGAAACCCATGCACCAACTCCCGTCTTTCCAGCTCTAGCTTCTCCCCAAGACCGCCAGAGCAGCTGTGCAGGTGGCAGGCGGAACTTGACCAGCTGGCCTCAAGCGAGCCTACAGCCGCCAGACGCACACCGGGCCGTCACCTGAGGCTGTTGAGTTGGCCTGTGGCCTGTGGCAGGTCGCGTCGGTTGAGGCTACGGCCGGTTGCTGATCCTGCTCACCCAGGCGGGACCCTCAGGTTTCATCAAGCCATCTCCCTTCCACTCCACAATTCCAAACCAAACCTCACTCTCGCGAGACATTCCACTTCCACTTCCACTTCACTTCCACTTTCTCCCCCCAACGGCCACTCACCACCTGGCAACCCTTTCCTTCTCGACCACACCCCTCGTCGTCGTCATCTCCTCCTCTCGTCATCTCGCTGACTTGAGCCATCCCATCACTTGTTTTTTTTGTTCTTTTTTTTTTCTTTTTTTCTTCTGAAGATTCTGCAGGCTTGTTGGTTTCTCCTTTGCCACGACCACCGACACGCGCCATCACCACGTCGTCGAAAAAGAAGTCGACCGCCCACCGCACTCCTCCTCCATCTACACACACCCGGATCGACGCTCCAAGGTGTGTCCCCCGGTCAAAGCCACGATCTGCTATCGGTAGCTACAGCCGGATCTCGGATACCCTGGGCTAGCAGAAAAAGACTGGCGTGCTTCGTCTCCAGTGCTTGACAAGCGAAAGAAGGTTTGAGATACCAGAAGTGCTTCTACTCTCTTCTTCCGTACCAAACAAAAGGGCAATCCGTCATCACCTCCACCACCACCACCTACTCTACTACTCTACTACGTACCTCACTCACCTTCTTCCTTGCTCAACCACCTCTACTACCTGCCTACTCTTTGCGCTTCGCCCTTGCCGCATAACATCACCACCACCAACTCCCCGGACAAGGCTTCACCAACACTGCAAGATCAAGCAATCCAGCGATAGGCCTCCTTCCTCCCATACTACTTCGCGCACCAGCACCAGCACCGGTCTCCGTCCCGTCGATCGTCTCTTTGATCGGCCCCTCCCGAGCAACCACCACTCCAACACCCTGAGAGCGCAGTCCCGACCCCTTCAACCGCACCTCCACTACACTACACCAGCACGTTTTCCTTCGAAAACCCCCAAGGTGTAGATAAAACAAGTTCGATAATTCAAGAAGAATATTCATCTCGCACGACCACGACTTCTCCATCGAGACGTGATTATTACCTGACTTTTAGCTCGCTCGCAAGCAACAACCATGTCCGCCTCGCCACAGCCCACCCAGTCCGCTAAGCGGCCCCTGGACGAGTCCTCTTCGCCCTCTCGCAACGACCAGCCCGAGGCCAAGAGGCTCGCTCTCGACAAGGTTGTCAAGGACGCCCAAGAGGAGGTTGAGGCTCCCGCTCCCGAAGACAGCCACAATGCCGACGACACTGCCGGCTCCGCCACCCCCACTCCCGCCCCCGAGTCCAACGGCACCAAGGTGAAGGGAGACAAGTCGGAGGGTCAGGATGCCCAGGGTGACACAGTTGTCCCCGATGCTCCCCAGAGCAAGGCAACCAAGGACCACGGTGCTCGCAGCCGCGCTCAGCCCCCTGTCTCTGCTCAACCTCACGATGAGACTGCTTGGATCCATGTTCGATCCGTTATTTCCAGCCCGGAGGCCGCCACCATCATTGGAAAGGGCGGCGAGAATGTTTCCAAGATCAGAGAAATGTCCAACGCCAAGTGCACCGTCAGTGATTACCAGAAGGGCGCCGTTGAACGTATTCTCACTGTTAGCGGTGTCGTTGATGCGGTCGCAAAGGTATGTTGTCCCCATGTTTCCCTCAGCAGTTCACTGGCTAACTATTCAAAAGGCATTCGGTCTTATTATCCGTACGCTGAACAATGAGCCTCTTGCTGAGCCTTCCAACACCCACTCCAAGACCTATCCCCTGCGTCTCTTGATTCCCCACGTCTTGATCGGCTCTATTATTGGCAAGGGCGGTGCGCGCATCAAGGAGATTCAGGAGGCTTCCGGAGCCCGCCTCAATGCTTCCGACTCGTGCCTGCCCCTTTCCACGGAACGGTCGTTGGTTGTCATGGGCGTGGCCGATGCTGTTCACATTGCTACTTACTACGTTGGTAGCACTCTTCTCGAGCAGCTCAACGAGCGTTTCGGTGGTCCCGCCGCCTCAGCGTATGCCACCCGCAGCGGAGGTCCCGCTGCTTCTATTCCTGGCGGCCTGCAGGTCGTCCCCTACGTTCCTCAGCCCGCTGGCGGCAACTTTGGCAACCGCGATTACTACCAGCGCAACCGTGGCCCCGACCCCAGGTCTCACCACGGCATGCCGCCCAGCCAGTACCCTGCGCCATATGGTGCACCTCATCCGGCCCAGCCCAACCCTGCCGTCCCGATGCACTACGGTGCCCACGCCGCCGGTGGTTACGGTGCCGCTGCCCCCCACGTTGCGCCCCATGTCGGCCACGCCGGCCCGGCTCCCCATGCTGCCGGCCCTCATGGCGCCCCTGTTGCCGGCGCTGCCCTCACCCAGCAGATCTACATCCCCAACGATATGGTCGGCGCCATCATTGGCAAGGGTGGACAGAAGATCAACGAAATCAGGCAGATCTCTGGCAGTGTGATCAAGATTAATGAACCGCAGGACAACAGCAATGAGCGACTCGTCACCATCACCGGTACAGAGGAGTGCAACCGCATGGCGCTCTACCTACTCTACCAGCGTCTGGGTGAGCTTCAGAACAACGGCCGTGACTCTCAGCAACCCAATCACTAATCAGATATTCTCACTTCAACAGAAAGCGAAAAGCACCGTTCGTAGGAACGATGCCGGACGATAGCCTAATTCAGCCAATAGAAATCACCGCGGAATTCTTGTCTTTTAGTTTTTAGTCTCGAGCCTCTTATATCGATTTTATAAAATACCGGGTGCTGGGAACGTGGCGTTAAGCGGATAGTACGTCTTCTTTGGTTTCGGGAGAGAGTGTGTGAACCTGGGAAATACAGCGACTTTGAAACAAAAACGGTAATTTGCAGTTTTACTCTACCCGTGTTTTGGTGTCACTGATTGAAAAGGGGAATCTTCCCCGAACATGGTTTGGCCATCGGTCATTACCACATTCATCTGTCGTTCTTGCACTAGCCTTATAATGACGCTGTTTACTTCTTATCCTCTGAACACTCACCTCCCCAGTGTGCTCTGCTCTCAACATCTCAACTTGTGGCTCCCTTTCTTTCTACTCGTCCCACTGTCCTTTGTTTGTCATTGCATCCGGCAACTCACCACTGGCTCACTAGTCTCATCGTCAAACATATGCAGCTACCCGCCCGTCTTCCCGACGTCCCACAGACGTGTGCACACCCCGGTTGGTTATTGGAACTGCTGACAGGGTTGCGTCTGCTTCTAAGGTTTTCATCGAATGACCACCTGCTTCTGCAGGTACACTCAAGGACGAGCCGGCCACTTTAGCGTTGGTAACCGAATTCCCGTGCAGGTGAGTTTTTCTTCGTGGTGTGTTTTACGTCTGATGATCAGGATCACAGATTTAGGAAGTTGTCGTCGGTATCACCTGGTGAAGTGACTGTCTTGTATGTTTCGCCGCCCATTCACGGAACACGAATTGTTGAATGGCACACAGACAGATTGAAGCTGCAGTGTCAGTACGTAAGGACTTCTTGGAATATCAGGGCCCATTCCCGCTATATCCCGAACTTTTGAAGAAAATACGACAAGGAAGAGTAAGCAATTGAATCAGCGATACTCTCTCGGCTACTCGGTCTTGGGCAGAAAGCTGTGACTCGTAAAGGGAATTTGTCCTTCACTGGCTAGTTAACGGAAAGCAGGCCTCTTGATGATGGCGCATCATATCTCGTTATTCCACTTTGAAGGACAGAACTTCCGTGGAGCTGCCTCGCTTAGTCCGTCTCGTTGATCTCTCAAAAACACCGGGGAATTTCCAAGTCTCAATGCGACATGATACAATCGATGCTCACTGCCTGGTTCCTTTGAGTGACTTGAAGAGTTCTTTCCATTTTAGTTCGTTATTCCCAACGCAACTTCCTTCCCAAACAGAAAGCCAACCGCAAGTGGCAAGATCGAGAGAGAGAGAGAGAAAGAGAGAAAGAGAGAGAGACAGAGAAAGAAGAAGAAAGAAAGAAAAAAAAAAGACATACAACACCAGCTTATTCACCGGTCGTCACCGATCCGATTACTAGGCTGGCGGTCACCGGCTTATCTAGGGGAGAGCGGACGGGATCCCGAGTTTTTGCCCTGGTGCCTATGGTCGTATGTTTTTTGAGCAGTATCGGCCTGGTTGGATGTTGTAGGGGAAGTGGTATAGGTGATTATCTATCCGCACTGGAGGCAGATATTGGTCTGATACATTGAATGGTTTATTGTTTAAATGAGTACCTACCTTGAAGCATCTCGATTTTGCTTGCTTTGGGGAAGATATTATCCAAGACATTTTGAAGCTAGAGGTATTCTTTTTGTTTCTATCTGATCGCGTTTGGACGGCTTTGTCTGATCAAGAGTTAGCTACCTAGCTTTCAGGCATTGCTGATGAGAACCTAGGTAGTCTAATCCTCAGTAGATGGAAGGAGTTTCAGCGCTTCAGACATATTTTATCCACCGCGGTGAGATGGATACCACCTATACAGTTGTAAGATGAGTTGGATATAGCTATGTCGTGACTGTGGAGATCTCGCTGATGAGGCGTCTGTTGAGCAACGGGAACGGTCGATCACCTACATTGTGAACGCTCATAGTCTACAAAGACAGGATCGGACAGCAACTAGGTAGGTAATTGTTTCCAACCGTTTTGTTGATAAGCCATAATACCTCTAAGTGTCTGATATGCCATGCCATGACATGCCATGCTGGAGACCTAAAATACTGGACGTATCTCGCTGATTCATAGGTAGAGGCACAGGAGACGATGCCGGTAGCGACCCCTCCCTTCACTAAGAGATCAGGTACCTCTACAGAAAAACATCGTCAAGGCATTGCATTGGCTTCTTGCTTGACCGGTCCTGGAGTCCGTAGCTACTATTGACGTTTCGAAATCACACATGTCATCACCAACAAAGAATAAAATAGATAGAGTGTCGGCGTCTAGGCGATTCTATTCATTTAAAGCGTGTTTTGGCCTCTATGGTAGACCTAGCTTTGAGAGAAATGACCTAGGAAGCTTTGACAGAAATGCACAAGGTAAGTTGGGTGAGTGTAAGAACGCTTAGGAAAGATGATCACAAGCCTCAAAGGAATAAACCCTTCCAGGAGTGTATTGTATCGCAATGTGATCACACACACAAAGACCGAGAGGAAAAGTGGTCACTACGTTATGTATGCTCTCTGGTCATATGTAAAGTGTTCTCAGTCAAGTGCTTAATTTGGAAGCCAGGCACTCTCTTAAAATTGGTGTCTTCCTTCCTACATTAAGAGTCAATACAAGTGGTTAAACAATAAAAAAACGCAAACCTGATAAGCTTGGTCACAAATTAAAAAGAATATCCTTGGTTTAAAGAAGTTACATTGGTTGGTATCAGAGTTCAGAAAAAAAAAAAAAAAAAAAAAAAGGACAAAAAAATACAAAACAGAAGTTTGTTTCCTAGGTATGTAGTCGCTTTCCATCATCATTAAATCTTCAATCTTCCCTCTGTTTTCTTTCTTATCCTACACACTCTTTTCTTCTCCTGCCTTTATCTCCTCCGCTTCTACCTTAACCATCATTCTAGGTTCCGTGGCTGCTGCATCAATACTGCGGCCTATAAACCGGTCCTCCACCCTGCTGCTGCTGCTGTTGCTGGCCATAATAACCCCCCTGGCTACTCTGGCTTCCCTGTCGCTGCTGCTGTTGCTGGCCATAGTAACCCCCCTGCCCCTGACTACTCTGGCTCATCTGCCTCTGCCGCTGCTGTCCATAACCGCCAGCCGCGCTCCCAGCACTCTGACTACCAGCTCCATACCTCGGCGGCCGTTGCGGCTGGAACCGCATCTGGTATCCACCTCCTTGTTGTCCCGGAGCCGAGCCCGGTGCGGACCCAGATCGTGCGGGCCTTGGACCCTGAGCCTGTGTCTGACCTGTGGCAGGCATCCCGCGATATCCAGTACCAGCTGCTCCGACGTTGGGGACGGTTGGCTGGCGAGTCATTGGGTTCATGGGCGGATTCGAAATTCCCATGGGCGCGGGACTGGCGGTGAGTTGCTCACGGCTTCCCATCCTGCCTAGTGATGACTGCTGTTGAACCTGTTGCGGCTGCTGAGGCATCGGTGGCGCGGCGGCACCGTCGTATTGGAATGGGGTGGTGGAGCGGGAGTGGTCGGAGTAGACGGACATGGTGTAGCCGGATTGGATTCTGCCGAGCTTGGAACCAGCCTTGTTACCGACGTCAGGTCCAGGGCCGGCGGTGGTGGTGGCTGTGGAAGTGCGCTGGTTGGGGCCGGGGATGAGGTTGAGGTCGGGAAGGGGAGGAGCGGCCGAGTCGCGGGAGGCGAGGATAGCCTTTTCTTCGTCGTGGTTCGCGTAGGGCTTGTCGAGGGTCGAGAAGGTGGAGGTTGAGTCGGCGGTCTTGGCACGGCCGAGGAGGAGGGAGTTGCGGGCGTCGAGGGGGGTGAGGGTGTCGCGCTGTTGCAACTTTTCTGTGCGGTTGTTAGTTATCGAGTCATAGAATGATACCGCTAATGGGGGAATGGAAAACATACCCATCTCCTTTCTCTTCTGCCGATGCGGGTTCGCCTTGCAAAGAGCATTGATCGCATTCCAGACAATCAGAATCGCCAGAATGCCCGTCAGCGTGCTCTGTATCGCAATGAGCACGACGCCCGTAACCGTCTGCGTCGTCTGCGCAATGCCAAACTCCTCGACAAACACCAGGATACACACCACCGACAGGACCCTGACCGTTTGAATCATGATATTGATCACGTTTCCACTCTTCCTCTCGTACGGCCGGCTCCAGATCAGCAAACAGAGCATCAGCCCCTCGATAGTGAGCTGAGCAATCGTCTGCACCATACCTGACCCGTCCGCCCCCGCGAGAACGACCGACTTGCTGAACATGTAGACAATAGTCGGCACGAAAATCCACCAGTAATCCTTCCTGTAACTCTCGTAGAAAAGCGAATACCGGACCCAGATGTTCTTGTCGTTGTAGAGCCCTGCCACATCGCCCTCGCGCTTCTTGAGCTCCCGCGCGGTACTCCAGATCTTGTAGCTGAAGAAGGCCAAAACACCGCTGAAAAGCGCGAGGGTAAGGCCAGCAAGGAGCTTGGCCGCCCAGGAATCGCCCTGCGTGAACTGGAAGACGCAATACAAGACCCAGACGCCGTACAGAAGCATGATGAGCGAGGTGATGGTGCGTGTGATGGAGATCCAGTAGTTCTTGCGGAAACCGGAGAGCTTGGCGGGGAAAGAGCCGAAGAGGGCCCAGATCTCGAGGACGACCTTCACCAGCAGGATGCCGACGACGATGGCGGCGATGATGATGGCGACGATGAGCAAGATCGTCATGAACATGTTGGCGGACGGGATGGCGAGTTGCTGGACGTAGCTTTGGATGCCCTTGACGGCAACGCGGAAACTGTCGGTGTTGTCGGAGGCGGTGGTGGTTCCATTTCCGGAATCGGTGGTGTTGGCTGCGCTGGAATCCGTGAGGTTAACACTGGTCTCGATCTCGCGAGCGGCGAGGCGGATGAACTCGGTGAAGGCGCGCTTGACGGGCGCGGAAGAAGCCGTGTTCTCGTGAAGCGTGGTGGTGGTGTTGTCGGGAAAGACGAGCGTGGCGTTCTCCCGGAGGAATGTGAAGCTGTTGTGGGTGAGGTTTCCGCCCGTCTTGCTGCGGAAGTCGTCGATGGAGGTCTGCATAGCCGCCCACGGGATGATTCCCGTAGAAAAGCCAAAGTTCTTGGCGAAGTTGCGGTAGACGGGAGGGTAGCTGACGGACAGCATGCCGTTCATGGCCATGCCCTGGAAATGACCAAAGACTTCGGTGAAACTGGGGCTGATGGTGCCCACGCCGGCACTGCTCGCAGCTCCTCCTGCTGAGCCTGCGGCGGCGCTACTTCCAGCGACGGCAGCTCCAGCGGCCGAGATACCGGTCAAGACGAGGGCGGCACCGGCCACGCCGGCGGCGATATAGGAGACGGCGGGGACGGCGGCGGTTTTGCCGTTCGTTACTTCAGACTGGATGCATGCGACGTTTTGTCCAGACTCCTTGGATAGCAGCTCGAACTTGGCCATGGCGGCAATATCGGGGATCTGGAACGCTATCGGCGGTATCATGCTGGCTACCTCTGAAGTAAGTACCTGGGATCCTTTGGCGGAAAAGGAACCAGCGGGGACTATCGATCGTCAGCATATCTCACCTACCATAACGCTTGATCCAGAAAACTTCCACATACCAGGGCATAGCTGCTTCACAAAAGTACCCTCATCGCAAGGGTTGAACGTGTTGTCGTAGATGTTCATCCCGTAAGCCGTCACTGAAAGATGAGCGGTGACATTCTGTACTTGGTTGCTCGTTCCCGCCACGTTGAAAACAACCGTCCTGTCGGCGTTGTTGTAGGTGACATCGGCCCTTTGTACCGAAACCTGGGCGTCCTGCTCGCATACGTTGAAGCCGACCGTCTTGAGAATGTCGTCGCCCATGACTCCCTGTGCCATGAAGAGCCCGGCGAAGAAGGCCCCAAGGGCCGTCCGCTTCCTGCGGATCATGGTGTTTGTTGTTGTGTGTGTTGATGAACGAATGGTCGATATATTCAATTCGAATGGTGATGTCCTATTCAGTTCCTTCTATTCTTCTTCGCCAGTATCGTATGCAGATTGCTTTTTTCCTTCTCCCCTTCTATTTTGTGTCGTCGATGATGCTGTAGATAAGAAATATGCGCTGCGAAATGGTCGAAAGTTGGACGTATTGTGGTGTCGTTCCAAAACCCCCTTAACTCATGTATGTATGTATGCCGTCGAAAGGTTGCCGTGGCGTGCAGTAGTGGTATCCTCGAAGCCGGTTCTCGGAAAGTTGGATATGATATTACGATGTGTAGGATGTATCGATCAGATGTCGCGGTAGTCAAACAATGAATGGTGTGTGTGTGGAAGTGGTGATGATTGGTTGAAAGTGAGCGACTGACAAACAAAGGCAAAGTTGTTTCTTGCTTGTTTTGTTGGTTTGAACCCCCTTCCTAAGCGACGACGACGACGATGATTGACGTCAAAAAAGGACTGGATGGTCAAGGCCAAGCAATGGACAAAAGCCGAGGATCAACCTGGAAGGAGAAGTGAAAGAACAAGAAGGATCTCCTCAACGGGAATAGGGCCCCTGTGTGCTCAAAGGAGGAGAGCGAGTAGGTAGAGCAGAGCAACGCAGGAAGTGAGAGAAGGATGGGCAGCGAAGAATGAGAAGAACTGGGTAATTGTTCGTTTGGTGGATTGGCCCAGGCGGTCCAGGTGCTCACGGTCCACGTCTCCAAGCCAAGAAATCGGATCGATCCAAGTCTGATGATGATCGACGTGGAATGGGACAAGTAAAAGCTTCTAGGATGTTGTCCAGGTCGTCATGGATAGGCAAGAACTCGTACAAAAGTTAAGAACCTGCCTTGCTTCTGTTTGGCAAAAAGAAGAAAGAAAAGCGAAACCTGCGCTGGGCTGTTTCAGGAAAAGGAAATGCACAGGCCAGCTGGATGTGTTGAAAGTGAAGAGAAAGAATGGAGATGATGGAGAAATGGTGGAAAAGTGAAAGTGTAAGGGAAGTCGTAGATTCTCCGAACTCTCTCGACAAGACCGGACGATCAGATGGAAGACGAGACGGAACGCGGGAAGCAAAGAAGGGTTCACCCCAGCGGGTATGTGAAACGAGCTTTTTTCCCCCAAGTGTTAGTGATACTGATATGTTCCCAGTAGTTTTGAGTACCACCAGCGTCTGGTGAGGGAGTCGGAGTTTGAATCTTGGTGTAGTGTACTTCAGACAAGACAAGACAAGACAGGACGACATGACAAAAAAGAAGCCGGGAATCCCCCTCTCCGAGCCTCCTTGAGGCGAGTTTGAGTTGCCTCCCACACACACACACACAGTCCCCTATTTCGAAATGGAATTTCTCGAATCGAATCTCTTGGAACGAATCAAGCGAGCAAAATGGGACAAATCAACCGAACCGAACGAACGGCTGGCTCTCAGCGACCAAGTCCCCGACTCCGTAATGGTTGGTCAAACCGCCTTGCCCGTTTGGGCGAATGGCCTGTAATCTTTTTTCTCCTTCAAAAATGCCATTCATTCACTACTTTTTCAGAATGACAGCCAGCCAGCCAGCCATAGCATCAACAAAACGAACGGAAAGATCAAAAAAACAAACGGACTGCCCGACCCGTCCAATCCGCCCGTCAATTCAAACGGGGCTCATCCTCATCTTCTGTTCTGTCTGCGGTCTGCGGTCTGCGGTCACTTGACCAGTGCGTACCTTGCATCGAGGCCTCCGACAAGCATAAGTAGCATCGCCTCCGTTCTAGCCAGCCGGCCAGCCAGCCAGCCAGCCAGGGAACAGCCCTTCTCGGAAGACTTTCCAAATTCTTCAACAGCTTTCGTATATAAAGCTATCGGTCGGTCCGTTTTCTCTTTCAGATTCTTCCATAGATAGAAATCAAAACAAAATACGAGACTTTCCTTTCGGAGCTTCTACAAGGTGTTCTGTTCCATTCCGCAATCGAATTCAGGAAGGTTGCCCGCGTGGCTCAGCCCGAACGAACGTAACGAAACTGGTAGGTCGGTCGCCCGCCCGGTTGGTTGCTCGGTCCCGGTCGAATCATGTTTGCCCGTTTGACTGGCAACAGGGCCGTGGCAAGTCCCTCGTGGGTCCGTCATTGATCAAGAAGAAAGAACGGAAAGTTGTCCCCAAGATTCTCTTTTTTCCCCTGACATGGAAGGAAGCCCAAGCCCAAGCAAGCAAGCATCTGAAACGTTACTGTGGTGGGAGGCGTCCCCCAGCACTCCAACAGTGCCCGACACCCACCCGCCCACCACTGGACGGTCGACAGTGGACCAGGGGTTTTGTTGCTGTCTCGTGCGAGTGGGCGGCTCTGTCATTTCCGAGGTCTGATTGGTTGAAGAAGAGAGAACAATGGTTCAGTTAGGTACCTGAAGCCCCCGCCTTGTTGTCCACTGAGAGCCGTTAACCGAAGAGAACGAACCTGGAAGAGAAGGACAGGGGAGGCCTGACTTTGACGGAGTTGAATGGAAACGAGGGAAGCAAGGGAGTTCTTGGTAGTCTAGACCCCTGACGATCTTTTTGGGTACCTTTTTCTTTTCAGTCCAACAACTCTTCTTTTCGAGGATGAGTGAAGAGATAAACACCAGATAAAATGGATGAAAGGCCGTGAACCCGTTGGTGGCAATGTGCTTTCTCTAGCAGTGTAGAGGTAGAGGTTCTGTGAGAGAACTAACCTCCTTCGTCTCCCCTTCGTCATCTCCATGATATCAAGCCGGGCAGGTAATGTAAATGAAGGAGGTAGTGGAAATCTGCGTTAACGAGAGCCACCAGACAACAACCGCCGACCAGCCTTCATGGGTGCCATTCATTCAGAAAAGACAGGCCTGAAAATGCATATGTAGTGTACATACAAGTACACGTGTACATCTACCACAATGAGCCGCGCTTGACATCTGCGACCTGCCGGATCCCGAAACCTTAAGTACCGGACCAGCTCGCCCTTGCATCCGGTCATCTGGGCTTCCTTGACCTTGGGAAACGGCTCGTGATTTTATATAATCTCGCCCCCATTTCACCATTATGTATCTGTCTCCAGGCAACCCGTCTTCACTCCATTCCTCTCAGCTGTTTTGTTTTTCTTTTGCCCGTTTTGAATCGCCTCGCTTTTCAAAGCTGCTTGTCGCTTTAACTTGCTCTGTTGATCATGTTTTACAACTGTGAAAATCTCAACATCATTTCTGGTACATGATAACCCCTCCGGGAAGGCCCTAATTCCATAACCACTGCCATCCCTGCATCACTATGCGCGCCCCCTGTTTCCTTGTGGTGCCCCTGTCGCGGGTTACACGTCAGGTTCGGAGATCGCCTCCGGACTCGAAGCACGAAATGCGTCAGGTTGATGCAAGTCACCACCTATGATTCATGGCCAATGGCCAATGGTGATTCATGGTCATTCATGGTCGAGGTCAAACAAGGAACGATAAGAGAAAAAAGGACTTGTCTATCCAAGATATCCAAAATGGAAGGTTACGTTCGCGCTCTAAGCCCCCCTCGTAACTCGTAACTGGGAAAGTTCAAAAGCAGACAACTCCTGTGTTCACTCATGATAAACCGTGGGCTTCATGTGTTTCAAAAATAGAGAAGGAAGAACCATCCACCAGATGAAGGGACCATAAGACGTCAAGCTCCTTTCGTGACCACCAACCAGAACGATTCGTAAGCACAAAAAACAATCAAAATTCCAAAAGAAATCTGCACCAAGTCTTGCTGTCAAACGCCTCGCCACGCAGAACCCTCAAGAACGCATGTGTGCAGGCAAGGGTATCAAACCATCCGACCATGAAACCTCTATCAACACCAAAAATAGAACCAGAAAAGAAAAACAAAAACTCGTATTGCCTCAGTAGAACCCATTCTGTCCCGGCATAGGCGACGTCCCAAACGGACTCACACTCCCATGAGGACCTGCCATTGGCATGAACTGCGCAGCCACATGTCCATGTGAGTGTTGTCTACCGTGATGGCCATTCTGCGAATGCGATAGACTGTTGCCCTGGCTTGGATTGGAAGTAAGGCTCGTATTAGTCAACATTCCGCCGCCACTATCCAAGTTTGCGTACCCCATCGAGGCAGAATCTTGAAGTCCCAAGGCGTTCATATTCATGTTGAGATCTATCCCAGGGAAAGACTCGGTTCCCATGCCGTCTGGCGACACCCCCACAAATTGGTTAGGCATCGGGCCCATCAACGGTGTGCCCATCAGGGGAGTAGTCAGCTGTGAGGTGACACCCATCTGCGAAGATGACATGGGAGAAGTCAGGTATCCGGCTGTAGTGGTCATCGGCATGGTGGTGTACGCTGCCTGAGAGGCTATCAGGTTGGCGTAGCCTTGGCTCATGGGTTGCTGGGCCATGGGCATGTTCATTGATCCCGAGGTCATCATGCCTTGTGATAGGTCACCGAAGGGCACGGCATGATAGCCAGGCGAAGGGAAGGACTGGAACCCATTAAAGCCTGAGTGTTGCTGCGGGGTGTTGGAATATGTCATGGGCATTTGGCGCATTGGCATATGGCTCAAGCCAGCTATTGCCGGATCGAACCGCTGCTGCATGTGAGGCTGTCCGCTGTGCCTCCTATCGCTCTTTTCGGGTATAGGAGGCGGGAAATGCCTCGGCGGAGGTTCCTGCACCGGGCTGATGATCGTGTCAGGATCAACCTCCGTCCGCTCCACGAGCTTGATGATGGGCAAGCTGATTTGCTCCATGTGCTTCGCCAGGTGGACTGTCAACTTCTTCCATGTCGTGAGCTTTTCCCCGCAAAACCGACACGGCTCCTGCTCCGGTTTTGTCTTTGTGACTCTGTGGCATTTCTCCACCATCTGCCAGGTTGGGTGGCACGCGCCGCCAGCCTTTCTGATATCGCCCTTTGTCTTGTACTTGGGCTCCTGGAACTTGTGCTCGCGCACGAGATGCTGGAGGAAGTTATCCCGCCGGAAACAATCGTGCGTGCAATCGTCGACGCCGCACTTCCACCACTCGAGATGACGATGGCCTTCGTTTTCATGGCGGACCCAATCAGCTTTTCGCTTGAATGTTTTGTTGCCATCTCTGCAGTTTTCCCACGTGCAGGCAAAAGGCGAGACGTCTTCGTGCACGTGCTTGGTCCAGTCCGAAGGTTTCTCGAATTTCTTTGCTTGGAAGCACAACTGGCACTCCAGCTCAGCGGGTAAGTCCCTGGTGATCGGTGGGGGAATGTTGGCAGGGAACTGGTTGGGGTTGATCATTTTGTCACCCAGCGGCACGTCTTCTTCAGACCGCACAGAGAGCCCTCGGCCGCCAGGATTGGCCCTCATCAACTTCGCCTTGCCGCCTGATTTAATACACATAGATCCAGATGAGCAACTCTTGTTCATCAGGTGCTGTTCGTGCTCTTTCTTGTGGTTCAACAGGGCCTTATAACGAACCATCTGCTGGTAGGCAATGCGGTCCACCAGGTAACGGCTTTTTTCGGGGAGCTTGGGATGGAGCTCCAGGAAGTGTTGCTTGAAGCCATCCTGCGTTGGCTTAACATGGACAATCGATGCGCTTGAATCGACGTTGGAGTCTCCTGCCCCGTCCTCGTCATCTTCCTCATCAGAATCATCATCGATCTCTATGACTTCAGCAGAAGGCTTGGGTTCCGCAGAAGGTCTTGGAAGAGGGGCTGGAGGACCGCCATGATTCTTCAACATTGCTGCGAGGGTAGGAGCGTCCGATCTGCTCCGAAGACGGGTCAAGTTGACACCCAGATTCCGTGCTGGACTTTTGGCGTTAGGAGAAGTAATGGGAGTAGTACTGATGGAGCTATTTCTAGCGTGCACGGCCCCAATAGATGCCAGATTACTCATGGCGACCAAGGCAGTGTTGATGCTGGGAACCGATTGCTTCTTGCCCAAGCTTCCTGTCCGATTTGGGGGGGCCAAGTTCAAATTTCCTTGGCCTTCCTTTCGGTCTACCGACGAGCGTGTTGAGTTGGAAGCAACCTCTTCATTTTCGGCCCGAGTTCGTTTGGCGTTACTGGGTCTTCTGACTAGACCTCGGAGCTCTTGGAAGATTGCACTAGGTCGGCGAATGGATTCACCTCTGCTCAAGGACAGCTTTTTCAGAATGTTCCCAGCACTTTCGACCTCGGCGTCTATGGTGCCAATACTGCGACGCCTGGTTCCCCAGGTTGCTGCTCTTGAAATAATGGAGCCATTGTCTTTGCACATTTGCTCAAACTTTTTCATGGCATCATGAGAAGTCTCTGGCTGATGTCTTTCAGAGGTGATGGGCAATAACAAGGGTGCATCGGCCCAGTTGCGGTTCCCATAGATGATGGCTCGATCTTTTGCTGTCATCTCGCCGCCTTTCTCTGTGAAGTATGTCTGCCCTGATATTTTCTTGTTTTCAGAGGGTTCCGCTCCAATCTCCCGCGGATCGATACTTTCATCATCGTGGTCAAGAGGTCGTATGAAGGGTTGATTCACATCCACAAAGCCCGATCTTGTGCGGCTGACGGCCTTCAACCTGGCCATCCAGGCATCGACCTCCTCATTCCGTTCTTGAACTTGTTTCTCGGCTGCTAGTTCATTCACGCTGCGCACCTCGGCGGAAGACCGGTCACCAGGAGCTACTCCACTTCGGCCGCTGGCTTGATCTGGGGCCCAGCGTACAGACTCATCGCGTGCGAGTGTCGACGATGGAGACATATCGCCGTCGGGGGTCTGATGGACGAAATCATTTTCGTTGATGCCAGGGTATGGAACATGGTGTTGAGCGCCGTTGATGGTGTACGAGTTGATGGTGTCGTAATTTGAGACTGTTACCCTTGGACTTTGCTCTGACATGACGTTGATCGAGGGTACAGAGCCGTCGTCACCCAGCTCCGCGCTATTGGTAGCTTCTGATGTCAACTCGTATCCAGGTTGGCTGCTGTCCTGCGAGTCTGATAGCGATGGCTGTTTTGGCCTATGGGTGACCTCTTGGGTAATGACGGAAATGACTGGACGTTTCGGAAAGGTAGCTTGGTTGGAGCCGGCTTCGGGGTTTGGGGAGGTCTGTAATGAAGGTGTCTTTTCTGGACTCATGGGGAGATGACTGGCATTTAAAAAGGCGTTTTGTGTCTTCTGGACTGGTTCGGAAGAGATGTCGTCCGCAAAGGGGTTACTGTTGGCTATCTGGAGGAAGTCGTCATCAAGGAAGGAGGGTGAGCCGTCCGTGAGGGAAGAAAAGTTGATACCATAGAACTGGTCGTCGTGGTCGCCAAAAAACATCTGTTGATGGTGGTTACCGAAAGCTGCCAGACACTCTTCTGGTGTCTGTGTGTTGTTTAAGGCAGGTGACGCCGAGTTTCTGAGGGTGTTTGGTACGAGATGGCTACTTTGTGATAGTTGGTTGCGCTCCGGCGTGTTAGAGTCGTTATCAGCCAGAGAAGACGGCGTGTAACAGGTATGACCCAAAGACATGTTGAAGGAGGGAGGGGTGGGGGCCCTTAAGAATGTGGCTCCCTATGTGTGAGGTGTGTATATATCAAGAAGTGATGTTATGATGCTGAGAGTGTTGGCCGAATGGGCAGTGCGCGGTCAGGTCCCGATCTTCCTGGTAGGCGATTAGGCGGCAATCATGGTATATCTGCGTAGGCAAACCTCAGAGGATGATGAGGAGGAGGAGGAGGAGATTGCGGCTGCGGCTGCGGTTGTGTCGTTGCGCGGGGTTCTGAAGAGAGAGTGAGGGTGTTATTGGCTTGGCTGGATTATCGTCGCCGTGTTATAGACGCTTCTCCACTTGCAATGAGACGGATGATCAAATGTTTGCGCTGGCTTCCCTTTCCCACGCGTGATAGAAGCTGGATATGGAGCGATTCCAAGGAGAAAGTGTAGAGAACTGTTGGAAAGGACGGGAAGAAGGGGAAAAGATGATGGTGTCTTGCGTACCCGACAGGAACCAAATCTTGAGCAACACCGGCCTGGACCCCTGTCTCTTCTTCGTGCAGCGTGGATGTGGATGGGGGCAAGGCGCATAGACAGCTGCGCTTTCGAGCCTGGTCTGTGGCCGTGAGCGCTTAGAGGCTTGAATTTGGGTGATGTGAGCAGGGGTTCGCGATAGTGTGTGGTAGCGCAGCTCGGTGGTCTAGCCGTGTATCCGCAACCTCAGTGAGCTCAAAGTTCTTACACAGTGAACTCTGTCGAACTGTGGATTCTTTTAGATATCATTATATGGGTTTGCCTTGGTTTGACAGTTGCCGATAGTCTCTATGTCTAGGTCGGGTTTCATCAGTCAAGTGAATTGATGATATTCGCGGAGAGGTAGCCGGGCCGTGATTGGAGTCCTGATTCTAGGTAGCCGTGGTTGCCTGGGGTCGATAGTGACGGTGTCAACCCGTTGGGGGAGGATATGATGCATAAACCAATAAACCAGTATCCCGGGTATGAAGTCATGTTCTCGATATTTCTCAACCGGCATGCGGAGTTGCTTGACTCTGTGATCATCTCATGGTCTCCCAGCCACATGGGAGCAGTGCTCGTTCTGCCTCATCGTGGCTTCATGTCATCTCGAACCAGAGCCCGGTGGTGGGTGTTGAGTGTGTTGTTCTTGTGTATCCTCAAGCCCCTGTCAAATATTGCCTGATTTGGCCTGGAGATGCAGCCAGCTTGATGCAGTTGGCTCGACGGTTTCACCCTCGATATGCTCTGCTTACAGCCATGGACGTAGTGGTCCAAACGGTCCAAGGCGCAATGGTGGTAATCATCACGGCACCGGTCGGTGAGAGAACGAACCTTGATCAAGTCCATTCCATCAAGACCCGAGACAGTGGTAGACGTCCCAAAGTCGGCACGGTTTCACCAGTATCGCAACATCCATGGTGCGTTCCACTTGATGTGATGGTCGAAGTCTGTGAGTGGATCGTGGAATGAGGCGAAGCAGCATTGTTCGAGAAGGGCAGACTCGGGCAGAGCAGCAGGCTGAACAGAGTTGATCGACTAGAGTGGTCGCTTGGGTTGTATTGCAGCAATTCAAGGCGACCAAATGAGGTTTATCTCCGATCTGTGTCCAGTCAGTCACAGAAGAAGGAGGTCACGAGAATTTGGTGGTTGCAGAGAAAAAGTGAAGTGAAGAACAGGAGAATTCCCCAGATGCCCCACTTGCCCGACCTTAACGGCTGCTGACCCCACCTTGAACAAGGCATTCTGCACTGCCCCGCGCGAACCATTTTGCAAACCACCAAATTCGACATCATCGTCGCCGGGCACTTGACAGACCCGACATTTCACTGTCATCCCACACACTTTCATGATACTCATCCAGGAACTCGGATTGTGCCTTGCGACTTTACATCATCCTTCCCGTCATCACAATGATACATATATGCAGCCCATCAGCACGGAAAGAAGCATGGAAGTCGAAGCCCTGACAGACCTCTTCAACATCCAGTCGCTTCCCTTCATTCAGTTTCACACTGCTGATATTGAACCCTCCCGATTCGCTTGACTTGTCACTTTGATGCGCACTGTCAAAAAGTCCCGACAAACCGTTCAACCCAATCCATGGCCGACCATTCGTGAACCCATCAGACGATGCCGTTTTCATAAGCCACTGACTGCATCAACAACGGCCATTATGTACAAACATTCTATTGAGTTATGATCCCGGGATTCGAGAATTCAAGATTCCCTCTGGTGGTTGGGGACGGCTTGCACTGCCACGCCACGCCGTCTTCCACTTCCGCTCTGCCACCCCCGTTTACGGGGCCTTTCCCACGATGCATCTCTCCTCCGGGATCACGTATCCGAACTGGTTCAGCACTTGCTATGAATCCTTGATCCCTTTCACCACCATCGTTCACGGTGTCAATGATTCACTGTCAGACATCATGTTGTTCCTACGAACGTTCGGCTGCCGACTCAACATACCCTCACGAGCTGGTCTGTTACACTAACAAAAGGGGCAGGCTATCATAAACCTTCCAGCACAAACAGTTTGACATAGCGGAACGGAACTACTTCCGTATCCCCGTACAGACAATGACTAGGCGCCGTCATGGACCATGGCCGTGAGTAAAGTTTACCCATGCCGCTGGAATGACTCCGTTGTCGGTTCTCGGTAAACCAGTCTTAAGATCATTCCAACGATCATCAGCCTCGACACCTAACTCACTAGAAGATCTTTCAAACCACCAAGGTTCAGAATCCGTCTTCACCCCATGTCATTCTCGACTAACCGATCACGGTGACATTCACGATGCTCCTTCCGTCCCCTAGGTCTGGCCCTATCTTGAACTGTCGGCACATACCCCATGATACAAGCTTAGCATCGCACAAGCTCTCTTGCCCCAAGCCTAGACTCCCACTGCCCTGCACAAGGTCACACCATCTCACCATTCTAATAACACCAGAGAAGTTTCGCTGAACGCTTGAGCCCCTTCGCCGTAAGCCAAGTCTTGTGTGCCTTTTCTGCGCTTCTCCGAACGCCGATGATATGCATAAGATCTAAGCCAAAAGGCAGTGTAGATCATGAACCGGGCATAGTTCTAGATCCGCAGTTTGGGGTTACATACATGAATTCTAGACTTCAGCCAAACAGTAAATGGCATGGCCTCTTAGGAAAGTTCCGTTGCTGTTTGGGGATCTGAAGGATCATCAAGCCTACTAGAAGAGAGAGAGAACCTGTACCCCTGAGATCGGAGCAAAGCCGCATGCACCCCTATGGCCTTGCGACTTTGGTCTTCGAATCATGGACCAGATCGGACCTCAACGTCTAAAAAAGAGTGCTGTTTCTAGGAGAAATAGTACTGTAGTAAACTGCACTTTTGGCTGACCGGCCACACACTGAGCCTTACATAACGATCTCCATAGTCCCGGTCATCTCGTAACTGATCAAGTGAGTGGCCTGACCATGCGGTGGCTCCCCGAAAGAGGAGGACAGACACTACACTATAACTTGACATCTGCCAGAACATCGAGATACCAACACACAAAAGCATGTTCAGGAATTTACATTGTCTTCCTCGACATCTCTATTGACCTTTCGTCATTTCAGCTCATAAATTAAACTAGATATTACAGTGTCCAATCTCAGGAACAGCTCTAGGCGACCAGTTGAAAGAAACACTTGTTGACTTCAAACACTGCTACTTTGCCAAACAAAAAATACCAGTTTAATATTCCAGAAACATTGAGCTACAACAGGAACTTATCGGTCTTGATCACTATGAAAGGAAAACAAACACGGGCTTTCATCACCTTCTTTCTACCTATTCACTGTCATCCAGCCCATCACGGAGGCCCGGGTTAGGGTTCCCATTCACACACTCAGGTGTCTCAGGGTTAGGGCCAAATTCCCAAGACGTCATCCTCGGCTCTTCCCGAACCTTCGTTGCTTCTTCGTTGCTTCGTTCGAACCTTTCGTACACTAGGTTAGTATGACAAAGTGGCCCGAGCTCCCAATCAGCAATTAGCGACGGAATCTCAGCTGTTGAGCAGTGTCTGTCGGAGCTTGCCTGCCGATTGCAACCGACCGGAGTCCCCCAAGATCCCGGTCCCGTTGCGCGCGCAGACTGGTCGCGGACATTGCTCGCTAGTGTACCTACCTTAGCTGCTGCTCGGTAAGTTTCCTCCGAACTGGTCGATACCTAATCTTTCTGAACGAGCAACTACAACGAATACAACAACAGAAAATCAGACGATAATACTGTTCACAATGGTGAGTTCCCCTTCGGATGATACCAACGTAGGGAGAGGGGAGGAAAGCTACGGTCCAGCTTGCGTTCAATTGACTAGAACTACCTGTACCTACCTAGCGATTGGCATGGCAATGGCAAGCTGGAGAGAGGCCGAGGCATACAACGGGAATGCTTGGATGCTTGGAGCTGTTCAGGTCATGCTAATAATTGCAAACTCAAACTCAAACAGGGCCTCGAACTCCCCGCCTACGTCCTCTCCGCTCTCACGGTCACCGGTGGTATCGCCGGCTATGCCCGCACCAAGTCCAAGCCTTCCATTATTGCCGGTTGCGCTGTCGGTCTTCTTTGTATGTGTTTCGTCCCATGATCCCGGATCGCGATGCCTACCTACATGCTACACCACCTCTATGAGAGTGTATCCGATCTACCTACCTACCTACCTCCCGAACTACACCAGCGCCCCAACCTACCGATCTCCACAAACCTGTTTTTCCCTTTCATCATATCATCCGACCCCTTAATCTGAAACTGTTACTAACGGACGGCCTTCACAAAAATAGACGGCCTCGGCGGCTACCGCATCCAAAACAACCAGCCCTACGGCGTCGAGCTCGGCCTCCTCGCCTCCGTCGTCCTCGGCGGCGCTTCCCTTCCCCGCGCCATCAAGCTCCGCAAGCCTGTGCCCATGATGCTCAGCGCCATTGCTGCCTTTGGGCTGTATACCTTTGGTGATGCTTTCCGCAAGACTCTCTAAGGAGGATAATCAGGAGGCCGGGACTCTTGCTGGAACCCCCGTTTTTTTTCTTTGCTCGAAACGGCCTGGAACGGTTGGGACGCGCAAAGGGAACTCTTGTAAGAGGGGAGTGGGATATTCTTTTTGTTTTTTTTCTGCATATAAGCCAAAATGTTACAGGATAAACCAAATGCAAAGTAGTTGCGCCGCCCTTATTTATGCTCTCCTTATGTGGTGATGGGTATCATTGTGTGTATGTGTGTGTGTATGTGAGCGGCCTGGTCTGTCTGTTTGTCTCGGATCGCGTAGAGTGTTGTGTGTGTGTGTGTGTGTGTGGTTGATCGTATTCCTCCCATGCCGTATCTACCTTCCACCTCTGCGTATCCAGCCTTCCCCCGCTTATGATCAAATTTCCATATGGTTCTTCGAGAAGAAGGGAAAAGGGAGAGTTGAGGTATAACGTTGCTTCGATCGGGGAGGAAACGAACAATTGTCACGATCACGTTCTCGGTTTCTCAGGTTGATAGAATCGATCGCTCGCTCGGCTCGGGACTCTCGGCTTCGGTCTCAGTCGCGGGAAACGTTGTGTGTTTGTTGTTTAGGAGTTCTCATCAATCTCCTTCCACTTTTGCCGGATAATGGCCTTCTTGTCCGCCACGCTGCTCTGGTTGATCTTCTGGGTCTTGAAGCGCTCGGCGCGCAGGCAGGCCGCCAGCTCCTCCTTGAGCTCGTTGCACATGCCCATGGACTTCCAGAGGAAGCCGCGGGCGTGGCATTCTTCGAAGGCGACCATGACGTCGTAGCAGGCTATAGTCGGGCAGAAAGGTGATTTGTTAGCGACCCTCGGTTCGAAGAGAATTAGAGGGGTCGTTTGGTGGAATGATGCGTCGAGAGGGACGTGGGGAGGAGGAAAAAGAAGAAAACGTACCGGCATTGTCCTTGGTATGCAAAAGAGGATGCATCTTGACTGAGTTTTTATGCTGTCACGGAGGAACAGCTACTGAGACCAATGTCGTCGGGTGTTGTCGCGATTCAAAAAAGTGATCTGGGGGTGATGGGTTGTGATTCGCGACAAGACGGGAAGATCAAACAGACAAGACAAGACCAAAAAAGCGCGGCCGCGGCGGCAGGCCTGGACCGCTCGGAGCTAATTGAACTGCTTGACTTGGAAGCTTTGACCAACCAGAGTTTACTTGGGGGGCCCAAGAGAGGCCTGTGATTGATTGCCCCTCCAACGGGCGGTTCTTTCAAGCAACGGGCACTGGACCTCCTGAGCACTAACATTTTTGGCCTAGCTTTCTCACCAGAGCAACTATCAACTTCTTTGAACTGCCTGCCCGGTCTTCAATCCGACTTGAACAAAACGACCAGACCTTTCACTTTTCACTGAAGAGACTGCCAGTAGCGACGGCTTCCAGTTCAGACAACAAAGATGGCTCAACAACCAGCAGCTGCAAAGAAGCAGCAAGGTCAGTGTTCTCATACCCATCCAAGGGTGCAAAGAAGAGGGGCATCCTTGTCGATTGTACGTAGACGTACGTAGAGGTGACTGACAGCTTCCTTCGAACAGACCTTCAGCTTCAGTACACCACTTACAAGAACACTCTGCAACAGATTGCCCAGAAGATTGGTGATGTTGAGCAGGAGGCTGAGGAGCATAAGTAAGCATCTCGATGTTCGGTCTTGGGACTTGAGGTTCTCTTTTTTTGTTTAGCCGCCAGAGCCGACTTGAAGAAGGTGGTGATGGTGATGGTGTGAACTCCTCACTCATCGGTTATGCTATGACCCCTTGCTTCATCTTCTTCTCGTTGTGGGATTTCATACATGTTATCACACCGCTTTACTGCGGCATGAGGGATGGATGGAAGGATGGTTGATGTTTTCTTTTTCCTTCTCTCAACACTTTCCCTTTCCGTGGCTTTCCATATTTTCTCGCTCTTGCTTCTTGCTTCCTCGTATTCATAATTCTTTCTTTGTCACACCGCCCTTGTCATATCTCTTACTGCTCCCCAGTCAACTCCCCATCCATACCTTTACCTTGGGAAGATCTGACCTTGAAACCCCGATCTTGAAGAACTGAGCTGACACCAAAAATAGACTCGTCCTCGAAACCTTGGACCCTCTCCCGGCAGACCGCAAGTGCTTCCGCATGATCAATGGCGTCCTGGTGGAGAGGACGGTGGAGGACGTGATCCCCGCTTTGAAGACCAACGCCGAAGGACTGAAGAAGGTTCTGAACGACTTGGTCAAGCAGTATCAGAACAAGCAGGAGGAGCTGGATAAGTGGAAGGTAATGTGGTGTCCTTGTGTTTTTGTTTTTTTTCTGGGCTATGCAAGTGCCTGAGCTGGTTATGGGAAATGGTCAACTGACTGACTGATTTTTCAAACTGTACAGAAGAAGAACAACGTCCAGGTTGTTCAGTCATGAGGAGATAGACGGTATGAGATGCTGGAGGAAGATAGAGAGAGAGAGATTTCATCAGGTATAGTGTACGGATACAATACCCCCCCACCACCATTACGATTATGTCAGTGTGAAGAGGAAATGAAAAGAAAAAAAAAACAGTTCTAGTGGATAGACGATGCCATGTCACCAAGGATGGTCGGTTGTTGACGTGCTCAAGTCCCAGGTTCGGCATGTGAAGGAGATAATGATCGAGAACGAGCTACAGGCGATGACGTCTGGTTAGGGTGCATTCCTTGTCGGCACAGCCAAATCGACAGTGCTTAGGATCATATCATGGATGTCGATGCTGATAGTTGTCAAGGGGTGGCCGACACGCGCAGCAGAACCGAAAGGATGTGGAAAAGTTCTCCAGAAATGGAATAACCAAGAGCTGTCGGGTCGTCATCCTACTTCAATATTTACACGCAAGGCATAAACAATCGATTGACAGTTGTCACGACATATTTGTGCTTCTTGGGTGCTTAAAAATCCTGGATATGATGGTCGTGGTGGTCGTGGTGGTGTGGTTGATGAGTTGTCCCATGCCCATCCTGGCATGGCATTCCCAAGGAGGCTCACTGCAGCCTAGCGACAAAGGGGCGCGTCTCAGTGCCCAACCGAGAGGCCGGAAACCTTCCTCATCCCAACCCCAGCCAGCGCATGCGGTTGGTTGGTTGGGCTTCGATTGGACTGGAACCCGCGAGCGAGCAAAGCGACGCAAAGCAAGCAAAAAAGACTGGTGATGAGCTACTGCGTGCAAGATTGTCTGAGATGACGGGCGGGCGGACAAATGCAAAGAACGGTTATGACGGACTTGCCGTCGGCGGGCGGAAAGCCGGCGTCATTTTCTCCGCTTTAAATGGCTTGAATGTAAGTAAGCCGCCGTTTAGCTTGAATGCTTGTGATATGTTACTGTCCTGTCGTACAGCAGCACATTATGAAACGCGGGTTTTTGTTGGCCAACCCCAACTGTTTTCTTTTTCTGGACTTTGCGATTGAGGAGACCCGTGACCGTGATAGCGTGTTGAGCCAACAGGGGATTTCTACAATAATTTCCGGAATATCTCCCAATGAGATTGTCGAAATCCCAGATAAAATCGATTATTGGCGAAGAACTGGCTTTGTGACAACCACTGAGCGTGCTCTTTGAGGTTGTCCCAGACTCGTGTTTGGGGAATAGTGAATGGCTGTGAATGGTTACCCGCATCGTGGGAAACGAAGGAAGGGGCGGGCATATCATGAGAGGAAGATGGTGATAACGAAGAGCGCAGCCAGTCATCACACACTCCTCTCCTTTGGGATCTCCTTTGGACCCCCAAACAATAGATCCCCAGCCCCTTTCGGCCTAAAAAGCCGTTGTTGGATTTCAGGGCACCGATTGGGCTTCTGGGTTTCCTTCAGCCTCCTCGTGCCTGTTGTTTGGGTTGAAGATGGTGTTGATATGTCACAGCCATTGTCGAATCAGAGGCTGTCTCCACCCACCTTCCAGGCATTCGTCGCCCTGAAGCTGGGGTTGCTGTTCCGCCAAGATATCATACATATCTGGAATCATGAAGAGATATTCAACTGTTGGACCTTGTTTTCTTGGGCGAGTTGGAAAAGTAAGAAGTGACTATTGCTTTGCGCATTACCCTTGCTAGATAATATTCGCAACAAGCATGCAACCCTCTGAGGAGGTCACGGATGACGTACTTTCACCGCTCTTGTCGGTCCACGGATATCAATCAGATATTGACGTCTCGTTGAGGGCGCGGAGTACGTCTAGCAGTCGGGTGGCTATGTAGTCGTCATGGGCGCTGATGATATCCATCGGCCGAGGTGGGGAAGGCGGATACCTAGAGGATCAGTTGTAACAGCAAGGACGCCGGGGTCGGATGAGGGGAACAGGTTCTTTGGAGTCTGGATTTTTAGTTGTAACGACGAAAGCGTCAGTCTCCATTCTGGTGGTGGATTGACATGGAGTTGTAGTTGTCAAACTGGGGTACCAAATCGACAATATGATTGATGCCAACAAGAAGGGCAGAAATAGGTAAATATTACCCAGACAGATATTACTACAAATGTATGTTTCGGACGTTTTATGTGCCATTGTCAATATATCAGCAATGTAGAGTGAGAGTAAGGTGTGTTGTCGTCGGTTGGTGTCGTTGTTGTTCTGCTACGTACTGTAGTGTACGTAAAATCCGACGTTGTGCTGGCGAAGCCGGGATGGTCGCTCACCCGCCGGAACATTTACAACGCAGCTATGCCTATCCGGGATGAATTGCGGCGTATGATTTTGGTTGAGACCCGCTTCTCCCGCATGCTCGTCTCTCCCCCGATTTCCTTCTTTTAGTAAATTGTTAGTGCAGTCGGCTGTTTTGGGTACCTAGAGACCAAGAAGAGTTAGCTAGGTAGAGATAGCTGTCAACGAGCTGACACTGGACTGTCACGACAAGCAAGAGAACCTAACAACCCCACGAGTCGAGCGGCTTTGTCTTGGATTTGTGTTTCCCGGCCATGCATCTCAGACACGGAAGGGAACGGGGACAACGACAACGACAGCAGCCAGACCTGACTTGACATTCACACATCCATCATCCATCCATACCGGCCAACTCAGACACCTACTTACCATACATACCTGGATTATCCACTAGTAGGGAGATTCGGCATCCATCTTCCACCTCCCCTCCCTAGACCTAGCAGGAATATCTCGACGCCCTAACCCAAGAGGTACCCTACCAACCGTTGACGCGCCCCAGTCAAACACCCGCCCACTCCTCTTCGACGTGGATACACACGCCGTCCGACACCCCCGACCAGGGCAAAGCAGAAACCCGTTTTTGTACTCTACGCGAAGCTTGCGTGAAGCGACGGGGCCATACAGACCACTCATCTCTACTCATCCAAGCATCGTCTTAATACTACTACTACTACCGGTACGTACACATACATCGTGAGAAACCACACCCCAGAGACGATGGAGTCTCGTGAAGGAGTCAGACTGCTTTGTTGAGTGCTTCTGCCATGCTGCCATGCGCGCACTGCATCGTTGCGCACATCATCACCACACACCACACAAGCACACAGGCACACTACACTACAGTCATCCCGTCCTTTGCGTGAGCGCCATGAGTTGCTGTGAGGTGCTGCTTGCTGCTGCTATTGCTGGCCCCGCAGGAACGCGGCAGTCCAAGTGATGGAAGGAAGGGGACATCGACCTCAGACGCCCATCCCAGCCTTCCCGGTCCTGGTAGCTTCTACTGGACATTTCCACACAGTCATTCGTCTCCATCAAGCCACCTCGTGCCCCGTCTTGTCTCCAGCTGTCCCCAAACCCATCCCAGTCCAATCCACCGTCGTAGTCCCACGTCCGGCCAAGTATTGGTTCTCGACATGACTGGATCTGCTCTTCTGACGCGACTTTTGCAGGTTACCTTTTCCACGAGGCGAAGACCAGGCAGACAGCAGCAGCATCGTCATCATCATCGACGATACACAGTACAATCTACACTACTTGTCTCTACGTACCCCTACCGCGAGTTCAAAGAAACAAAACGCGTTGCTCTGCCCTGCGCTGGCCCGGACAGTAGAGCCCAAAAGAAACCAACCATCACCAGCCCATCGCCGTGTGGTGTAACAGCGACCCGTGTGTACACAGAGACACACAACATCAGGAGGCCATCGGCAGCAGCAAGAGAACGGACTTGACGAAACGTTGAATCCAGGGACACGGGAATTTACTTGCGGCAGGGTCAGTCTACCTGCTGCGGTACATACATACACCCACAGATCTTGGTGGTGACCGTTGGTCATCCTGTTTACGACCGCACCAGTCCTGCCTGCAGCAAGGCGATCTACAATATCCAGCGGGCGCCGGCGCCGGCAAGGTTCCAGAGCCCCAGAGGCAGCAGACAGTCTCCGCGCTAGAGACACCACCCTGTACCCTTGGGTAGGACCCGCAGTGCCCCGTCCAGTCACCAGTCTTGTCGGGCCACCCCATCCACACCCCGGAACAGCCCCCTCACTCTTCGCTACCTATCGCTACAGGTACCGAGCGTGCCGCTACAAAGAGACATCAGACCAGTAAAGGTCGGGGCGTTCCTTTGCTTCGGCTTCGGGCTGCCATATCCTGTCTCGGGCTTCTCCCGTCCCTCCTTCTTCTCATCGCCACCAGTCCACCCCAAGCTACCCGCACCCCATCAAGTCCCGTTGTGCCCAGCCCCGGCCCCCCCATCACAGCCTGAAGGATCCCTGGACACGCGAAAAACAGGGGGGACGATTGACGCAGTCGCCTGCAGGCCGAGCCGCCCCCGAAAAAAAAAGTGGCCTCAAGCCTTACCTAACACCCTTGCAACGTGTCCAACGACACATCATCTACCTTAATCCAGTCTGTGCGAGCTGGCAGTCCAAGGAATTTAGAAAGACGTGAGCAGCCGCTGCAGGTAGCCAAATATGTCCGACTCCCCCCAATCCAATTCAAAGGATGTCGAACAAGGTGCACCGTCACCCGGCGAGGAACCACAAATGAACGACCCTCAGGACCCACACTCGAGCGGGCTCAACCAGTATGAGTTCGAAGTCAAGGAACAGGACCGGTGGTTGCCCATAGCCAATGGTATGTTACACACCTCGTTGCCTTCGTGCCCTTCTTGACCTACCTACCTCTATCCGTCCCTATCTGCCTCTGGCTCTTGCCTCGGTGCCGGCGGGCCCTTGAGCCTCTTTGTGTCTCTTGGTCTTTGTGGACAGTCACAGACCATGATTCGTGTGTGCGCCCGCCTCCCTCGTGGGAGCGTGTGTGAGGATGTGTGAGTGTGTGTGTGTGCTCTCTAGCCGTGGCCAGACAGAGAGCAGGGCAGCACGCCCGCTTGCGCTTGCATGGCACCATGTCCATTCATGGCTGGGGGTTTGGCGACGAGAAGCAGACCCGAGACCGTCTCCGACTGGCTTCGCTTCTGTCTTGCTGCTTCCGCTACTGCTTTGGGCTTGAGAGCACTTCCAGAACAAGCGCTGCGCATACTCTCTATACACTTCCATGTCTCACCATTCGTCGTCCAAGTCGCCCGAAGCGCCGCGCGCTTCTTCCTCGTCTTCCAAAGCCGATCGATGTGATGCTTACGATGCTAACATACGCAACTTTGCCCCAGTCGCTCGCATTATGAAGAATGCGCTTCCCGAAAATGCAAAGATAGCCAAAGAGGCAAAGGAGTGCATGCAAGAGTGCGTGAGCGAGTTCATCTCGTTTATCACCAGCGAAGGTACGTACAATGACTGCCAATCTTCCTCGCAGCGTCGAAAGTCATCCAGTCAGAGGAACAAGTTAAATCTGACCTATCACAGCTTCGGAAAAATGCCAGCAAGAAAAGCGCAAGACGGTAAACGGCGAGGACATCTTGTTCGCAATGACGTCCCTGGGATTCGAGAATTATGCCGAAGCTCTCAAGATTTATCTTTCCAAGTATAGAGAAGTAAGTCTCCGTCCCACCAGTCCCTTTTCCGTGAGGCTCCTTTTGTACTAGCGATGTTATTGCTGTCTCGTGGTGTTTCGTCCGATATGACACCGAGACATGACAATGGCGGTCTTGACGGGATGGGAAAACATGAAAACCCGGCTAACTCCAGCAGCAGCAGAATCAGACAAATCGTAGCGAGAACCAGCAAAACCGACCCAGCAGCCAAGGCTACGGTGCGCCTCAGGGACAGAACCAACCTGGACAAGGCGGGTTTTCCAGCAATGATCTCGGCGGCCAGCAAGAAAGTGGCGATGCTTCAGGCTACAACCTCTATGGCGCCCAGACTGGACACAACGGTGGCGGTGCTGAAGGGTACTAAGAGCCAGCGGACCATGGCGTTTATCGGCAAGAATGAATCCCCCTACGATCCAGCAGTTCTGCAAGCCCCAGAAGCACAGGCAGTACTTTCGGACACTCTGGTTGTTGGCCCCAAGCAGGCATCCCATCAGCTTGTGGTTGATACGG